CTGAGCCACACATGCACCCCTGGATATATGTGTTTTAAATTTGTTTAATCTGGGCATCCCCAGTGGCTCAGTGATTTAGCGCCTGCCTTCAGCCCAGGGTGTGATCCTGGAGATCTGGGATCGAGTCCCACATCAGGCTCCCTGCATGGAGCCTGCTTCTCCCTCTGCCTGTGTCTCTGCCTCCGTCTCTCTCTCTCTCTCTCCCTCTCTCCCTCCCCCCCCTCTGTCTCTCATGAATAAATAAATAAAATCCTTTAAAAATAATAAAAATAAATAAATTTGTTTAATCTGGGACACCTGGGTGGCTCAGTGGTTGGGCGCCTGCCTTTGGCTTGGGTAGTGATCCCAGGATCTAGAATTGGGTCCCGCATTGGGCTCCCTATGAGGAGCCTACTTCTCCCTCTGCCTGTGTTTCTGCCTCTCTCCCTCAGTCTGTGTCTCTCATGAATAAATAAATAAATAAATCTTTAAAAAATTCATTTAGTCTTTTATTGATTCCTGGGCTAAGGTTATAATTAGTTTGGGTGGTTTTTTATTTCCTTTCCTATTATAAATAAAGCTAATATTAAACACCTTAGTATATATAGCTGATTTTTTCTTTTTAGATTATTGTCTTAGAGTAATAAGTTTATTTATTTTTTTAAAGATTTTATTTATTTGTTCATGAGAGACACACAGAGAGAGACAGAGACATAGGCAGAGGGAGAAGCAGGCTCCCTCCCTGCGAGGAGCCTGATGTGGGACTTGATCCCAGGATCATGCCCTGAGCCAAAGGCAGATGCTCAACTGCTGAACCACCCACGCATACCATAGAGTAATAAGTTTAAACTGAAATTATTAGGTTAAAAGAAAGTAGTCATGATTAGTTTCATAATTTCTTACATATTTCGAGATTACCCATCATTAGGGAAATGCAAATCAAAACCATGAAGTACCATTTCACCCCCACTAGAATGGCTTTAATCAGAAAGACAGACAATAGCAAATGTTGGTGAGGATGTGGAAAAATTAGAACGCTCATACATTTCTGGTGGGAATGTAAAATGATGTAGCTGCCTTGGATAAGTTTGATAGTCTCTCTAAAAATTAAACATAGGGGCACCTGGGTGGCTCAGTCAGGTAAGCCTCTGACTCTTGATTTCAGCTAAAGTCTTGATTTCAGGGTTGTGATTTTAAGCCCCACATTGGGCTCCATGCTGGGTGTGGTGCCTACTTAATAATAATAATAATAATAATAATAATAATAATAATAGTTAAATATAGAGTTATCATATGACCCAGCAATTCCACTCCTAGGTATATACCCAAGAGAAATAGAAACATGGGTCCACACAAAAACGATACACAAATGTTCATAGCAGCATTATTAATAATAACCAAAATGATAGAAATAACCCAAATGTCCACTGAGAGAGGACATAAATAAAAGGTGGTATATCCATACAGTGGAATGTTATGCAGCCATAAAAAGAATGAAGTACTGATACATGGTAAAACAGAGATGACCCTTGAAAACATTATGGCAAAGGAAAGAAAACAGTCACAAAAATACATATTGTATGAGTCCATTTATGTGAAAGGTCCAGACTAGGCAAATCCATAGAAAAAGAAAGATTAGTGGTTGCCAGGGGCTAATCAAAGGAGGGATGGAATGGGGAACAACTGCTAATGGGGTTTCTTTTAAAGAGGTTTAAAGTGTTTTAAAATTAGATTGTGGTAATTGGTTGTACATCTCTGTGAATATACTAAAAGACACTGAATTGTGCCCTTAAAATGAGTGAATTGTATGGTATGTGAATTATATCTTTAAAAATCTGTTTTTCAAAAAAATAAAATGAAGGGACACCTGGCTGGCTCAAGCAGTAGAGCATGCAACTCCTGATCTTGGGGTCATGAGTTTAAGCGGTATGTTGGGCATATGTTGGGCATATAGCTTACTTAAAAATTAATAAAGTGGAAAAAATTCCTCTATTAAAAATATGCTTTTTCATCATCAGCAGTAGTATTTGGTGTCATCCCCTTCACCAACCCTGGGATTTTTATTTTTATTCAGCTTCACAGGTACAAACTGATATCCAAAGCTTCTTTAGTTATGTTATAAAGTCCCTCGGTAGAATCTAAACTCCAGAAGATAGGAATTTTTCCCTATTTCTGTTCATTGCTGCATCCCCAGAACAAATAATTATTTGGCTGGCAAATAATGACTTAGGAATTTTGTTGAAGGAATGCATTTTAATTGTTTTTTATTTTTTATTTTTTTCAAAGTATTTATTTATTCATGAGAGACAGAGAGAGAGAGAGGCAGAGACAAAGGCAGAGGGAGAAGCAGGCTCCCTGTGGGGAGCCCAATGTGAGACTAGATCCCAGGACCCTGGGATCACGCCCTGAGCCGAAGGCAGACGCTCAACCACTGAACACCCAAGTGCCCCTTCATTGTATTTTTAAGATTTTTTTAGGGGTGCCTAAAAAAATGGGCCACTGGGTGGCTCAGTGATATTTTACTTTACTTGCAAACTAACACATTAGCCTACCACAAGGCACTCCTGGGTCAGAGACAAAGGCCTTTATTATATTCATGGTACAACAGACACCCTGAACGTTGTATTCCTGTGTTGCCCTGACTCCTGAGTCTTCTGAGTGGGCGCTGCAGAGCGAAGCGCAGAGGTGACCACATAGCTGAGGAACCCAAGCATCATCAGGGGCTACAAGCAAACCCACCCCAAAAAATATATAATATAATATATATATATATATATATATATATATATATTTAAAGATTTTATTTATGTATTTGAGAGAAAAGTTGAGAGAAGGAGAGAGCTTGAGCATGATCAAGGGAGGAGCAGAGGGAGCAGGAGAAGCAGACTCCCCTCTGAGCAGGAAGCCCGACATGGGGCTCCATCAAGGACTTGGGTACTCTGGGATCATGACCTGAGCCAAAGGCAGACACACCCAACTGACTGAGCCACCCAGGCATCCTGTTTTAATTAGAGAATTCTTGGACAGCCCGGGTGGCTCATCGGTTTAGCGCCGCCTTCAGGCCAGGACATGATCCTGGAGTCCCAGGATTAAGTCCCACGTCAGGCTCCTTGCATGGAGCCTGCTTCTCCCTCTGCCTGTGTCTCGGCCTCATTCTCTCTCTCTGTCTGTGTCTCTCATGAATAAATAAAATCTTTAAAAATAATAATAATAATTAGAGAATTCTCCCCTTTAGTGTCGTAGTTTCACAGTTCCTCTGAACTAATTGTTCTTACTAACCTCAGTTTCTTTTTGGAAAGAGGCACTGTATAAATAATTGAATTGAATGTCCTTCTGATGAGCGTTGTGGTTCAAGTCCTTTAACCTTATATACTTTTACTTCTAAAATTCATTACAACAATAGTTTGCAAATGTTTGACTATGAGGACTCCCTTTTTAAACAAGTGTCCACATAATAATAGTTATGCTTTTTGTATTAATGGGAAAACTACATAGTAACAAGAAGCCATTTATATTTTTAACAATGACCACACTATCTTCAGAAATTTACAAAATAGAGGTTATAATATATGAGACACATACTTATTCATTCCATAGTCTGTGCATGGTGGCTCCATGTATTATTTCATGGATCCATGGAAATAATTTTGAAAGCCATCAGTAGTTTGGGGCCAATAAGTTGGGAACTACTTAATTACAGTATCAGAACTAAGGAGGATTACTGAAATGTAAATAATAGCTAGTATAGAAGATTATGCCATAGTCCCATGTTTAAAAAATTTAGTTCCTAAAACTATCAGCTTCTTTTGAAGACTTAATATTATATTATATACGACACCTAGGTAGCTCAGTGGTTGAATGCCTTCAGCTCAGGTCGTGATCCAGGGGTCCTGGGATTGAGTCCAGCATTGGGCTCACTACAGGGAGCCTGCTTCTCCCTCTGTGTCTCTCCTTCTCTCTGTGTCTGTCATGAATAAATAAAATCTTTTAAAAATATATTTTATTATTTTAAAAGATTTTATTTGAGAAAGATAGCACAAGTCTTAATATTTTATTTTATTTTTTTTAAAATGTTTTTAATTTTTATTTATTTATGATAGTCACACAGAGAGAGAGAGAGAGGCAGAGACATAGGCAGAGGGAGAAACAGGCTCCATGCACCGGGAGCCCGACGTGGGATTCGATCCCGGGTCTCCAGGATCGCGCCCTGGGCCAAAGGCAGGCGCCAAACCGCTGCGCCACCCAGGGATCCCAAGTCTTAATATTTTAAAAATCAAGTTTACATAACTTTAAAAGTGTATTTATTTGCCATTATTTGTTTTACCAAAAAAATCAAAAGCAAACTAAATGTTTAATCATATTTAATCAAGTTTTGGTATATTTATCTGGTGGAAGGTAGGTAGCAATTTAGTACTGTAATTAGGTATTGTAATTCTTATTATCCAGAATTTTAAAAAGCAGGATGTATCATCAGGTATCCCTAAACATTTTGACTGTGATTATATGAAGTGTTTATGTACATGGTGAAAGCAGGAAGGTAGTAGTGGCTCAGTTGTAAAAGAGTTCTGGGTAGGGATTTCCTATTTTTGGAACACTTATTTAGCAGTTGCTGTGTGCCAGGCACCATTCTAAATTCTTTTCATGACAACTCAGGGATCATCCCACTGCAGTGTATTTGGCCTTTGGGGCCTGTTTTTGTGTGACCCTTGAGCTAAGAATGGTTTAATATTTTTAAAGAGTTTTTTAAAAAAGAAGATGCAGTAAAGACCTTCTATGGCCCACAAAGCCTAAAGTAGTTACTGTCTGGCCCTTTATAGGACAAGATTGCTGCCCCCTGATTTAATTCATTTTATTCTCACAACATTCCAATAAGGTGGGTCCTATTATTATCATCCCCATTTTACAGATGAGGGAACTGAGCACAGGGACCTTCAATAATTTTTTGTCGGTGGTATTTACTGCTTTTACAGCAGATTGCAGGCTCTTTCTGTAAACTTGCCTAATACTGTTTTTCTTTGCAGTGTAAAAAGTGGATAGTGGCTCAAGTGTCAAAAGATGGCACGGTCACGATCTCGATCCCCCAGGTGGAAGCACAGGTGAGCAGTTCTTAGTTTAGCAGAGAAGCTTGGGTTTGGGGTGTGCTTTGATTTTCAAGTCCACTGGTACTGTTGAAAACCTATTTTAATAAATTCATGGGACCTGTTATTCACAGTAGGTATTTTACAGTAATAGAGGTTGTATTTCTAGATTCTGAAAACTGGCAGCTTGCTTTAATTATGGCTGGCAGCTTGACTTAATCCATAATAAAAAGAAATGCAATGGCCACAGCAAGGGAGAGTGAGAAACATCTTTGAGTGTTACATTTTTTTGCATCAGTAAGTAGTTTAGTACTCTTCTGTGTTTTTTTTTTCATAATCATTATCTTTGAAAAAATTGGGAGTTAGAAAATCAGGAGTTACCTCTTTCTTCTTCTTCATGGCAGAATAATAGAGTTTTGAGTAATTCATTTGTAGTTCAACTTTCTTCTTTCCTTGTTGGCAGTATCAATAGTATATACACATAATTAGATTGGAACAGTTCAGCCAGTATTTATTGTATACCTGCTGTAGGCTCTGGGGCTACAAAGGCAATATGATGTCTTCTGGGGCCTCAGCAAGCATGCAGACTGGCTGGGAGATTGGCACCACAGTCAGCTATGATACCGTGGGTTAAGTACGGTGCTACCGACTGGGACAAAGTATTTTGGGTCCACAGAGAAGGAATAATTCTGATTTTATGGAGGGAAAAAGGGGATGCTAAGAAAGCCTTCCAAGAAGAGATAAAATTTTAGCTGGCCATTTAAGGATGGATAGAATTTCTAAAGGCAGAAACAAAGAAGAAAAGTATTCCAGTTAAGGGAGGGCAATAGAAGCAAAGGCACGGAGCTATGAAAGTGACTAGTATATTCTAGGACTTTAAAAAGGACCATAATTACATACATAAAAAGCAGACCAAAACTTCTCATGTTAATACAACTTGGCCATTGTTCATTATGGTTCTACAGTGATTAATCAATCATTTTGTTAACAATTTTCATTTTGTAATTTGCAAGACCAAATTGTAACAGGAAGGAGCTTCAGGAAGAAAAGGGAATGTAAACAAATGGGTGATTTTAATATGGAGGGCATCACAGAGGTTGTTTTGTTTCACCCTTTTGTGATAGGTGGTGATGAAGAAACACAGAAGACTTGCCAAGCTTAGTACCTGATTTCTAGATTCCTTCTTAGAACTCTTTGTCAAAAAACTGTACAGCGTCTGATATTTTACTTTACTTGCAAACTAACACATTAGCCTGCCACAAGGCACTCCTGGGTCAGAGACAAAGGCCTTTATTATACTCATGGTACAGCAGGCACCCTGAATGTTGTGTTCCTGTGTTGCCCTGACTCCTGAGTCTTCTGAGAGTGGGCGCTGCAGAGCGAAGCACTGAGGTGACCACACAGCTGAGGAACCCAAGCTTCATCAGGGGCTACAAGCAAACCCACCCAGCCTTGGCCTTAGAGCAGACATATCCTGGATAGCAAACAAATTGGCCCTCTTTCCCTGAGGGAGGCCCTATCTCTGTCTTCCCAGGCTGTGGTGCCTTGGAACAAAAGCTGTCAGTGCCTCTGCTTACCAATGCAGAATGCAAGAGACCCAGGGAGGATTGCCTCCCAACAGACTCCTCAGATCTCTTTTGTTTCTTTAGGAGAATTGAAAATGATAGTAACCATTCCAGCAATCTCCTTCAAAAGACTGGGGTTTAAAAAAAAAAGACTGGAGTTTTATACAATAAAGCCCCTGATATGAAATATAATAACAAAGCAGTACTCATTATGAGATAAGGACTAAAGTAAGGGGCTGACTATTTCATCCAGTCTGGAGACCTGTCTCTCCCTGCCAGTTTTTCTCCTTAGCGATGGAAGAGATGCACTCTTCTAGAAAGTCCTCAGAGGCTCTACCTGCTCCTCCCTGTGATGAGGATGGATGACAGAGTTCCTTCTTAAGCTAAATAATGCACTTGCTAGTATGTCTAGTTTGGTGACTCCAGAGGGAGATATTGCCAAGACTAGTATATAAATCCCAGTATGTACATGAGGAAGATAAATCTGCCTCCTTTCTTGTGGGGAGGACACACAGATGTGTCACCAAATGGAAAGGATCTGACTCATGGTTGCTCCAACTCCCTGGCAGCTTCTGAAAGTGTGCAGTAACAAAAGCTGCAAGGGTAGCTGCCTCATTGATTAGAAGACTATAAGCCCCCAGGGAGGAGATTGGGAAATTGGACAGGTTAGGTGGGAGGTGCAGGTGCAAAATTGAACTTTATTGTGTTCTGGGTAGTAGTGCTCTTCTCTCTGCTCTTGAAGTCCAGGCAACTCAGACTTGTTTCCCTGGCTACAGGAGCCTTCTTCCTCCTCCATGGGAATGAAATCTTGATGTTGGCAATGCTGAGGTATTGGGGAAGGTAGTTACAGAAAAGATATGCTGTCCCTGGGGAACATGATGGCTGCATTAAAGCCCACATTCACCAATGTTATAAGCTCTATTTCAACAGCACATGTAAGGGAATAGGTCTGGGAAAGAAGCAATTTATCTATCTTAGTAGTATTTATGGAGGAACTAAGTATGAGATTCAAGCCTTAATGCCCTCTTTCCCTCCCATTCCACACACGAAGTATGTAGTTTTTTGCTCCTTGAGATAGCCTTAGTACTTGGGGAAACTGCGGGGTCAATCTTCAGTCTGAGATTGGGTTTATTGTGACATCATAAACTCTTAGAATCTAATTTGATTTCATAGGTTATGTTCCACTTGCCAGAGACTCTCCTATACATTTACTTGTGTGACTCTAGCCCTCCTGTTGTTTGTTTCTTACCTGGCTGTTGAACCTGACACAGGCTTTTGTTGACTGGCTCTTTTGCCCAGACTTTGCTGTCAGCAGTCTTCTAAAATGGATCTTGCTGTGTACCTAAGCTGGTCCTCCTCTAGCAGGATGGATGTGCTTAGCCCATTTTGATATGCACGTGGGATACATTAATTCAGATGGAAAAGTATGCTTGTTGAATTGGCCAGAACAGTAATCAGACACCCAAATGAACAATTTAGAATACAGATATAGCAAATTGTTGAATTTAATTTGAGTGGGAGAAGCAGTGGAAAGCAAATGTCTTATTTAGTTAGTTCATATTAGGGCAAACCTAGTTTATTGTCTTTAAATGGACTGAACTTTTCCATTTGTTTACATAGGTCTTTATCACCAGTACCTAGAAATTCTGAACACTACAAGCAAAGACATTCTCATTATGGCTGTGACTATAGGAAGGATCCAAAAAGACCCATGACTTGGCGAATGGAGAGTCAGAAACATGGACAGAGTAAATCAAGGATTCCTTCTCATGGAAATACACATTACCGATCTTATGAACATAGATCACCTTCCCCAAACCTAAGAAGAAACTCTTTAGAAAATGTTTATTCTTATAAGCCTTACCGAGTATACTCACCAGGAAGAGGGGATGGTAACAGAAGATCTCATTATACGCCCAAATACTCAGGAAGCGTACCCTACAAAGAGCATCAGAGGAATTGTTATCCCCAGAAAGTACAAGGAAGGTATATTCCTGATGACCACAGCAGAGTCAGAGGAAGTGGAAAAGGAGGGAAACCGCCTCAGAGATCAGCAGCAGATTCTTTTAGGTTCGAAGGAAAGTGGCATGAAGACAAGTTGAGGCACCAGAGGATACAGGACGAAAACCATCCTCAGTCACCTAGAAGAGGTTCTGAAGACTGTGAGAAAAGGAGCTCTTTTCAGAAGAGGTATAAGAAAACATTAAACCTGGGTAATTTTGTATAAAGCCTCAAGTGAAAAAGTCTGTTTACTGTTTACTTCAACTTTGTGGTTGAAGAGAACCACCTTGAAAAGCTTTTGTCTAAAAAGATAAAAAGCATATAATGTAATTATGGTCTACTGGTAGTAGTGAAGTATTTCTTTTTAGAGTAAGTCATGTTAACGGCTAGAATTGTAACAAAAGATGGTATTTTCCTCTTTTGCTACCTTGTGCCTCTATGAATTGGCTTGAGGGATTATAGTTAACTGGCCACTGCATTTAAAGCCATGCTGCCCAACATTCCACACATATAAATTCTTACTTTCTTCTCTCTAGTGCAAGTGTAAACTGCTTTATGTCAACACAGGTATCCTGAGGATCGTGCTTTCAGAAAATACAGTCATACATCAAAAAGACCCAAAGATGTGGAGAGGTATGAAAACAGAGAGCCTGCCAGGAACCCACAGTGGAAGTTTGGGTATTCTCTTCCATCTTACCAAGAGAAGAAGGAGCAGCGGAACCTTGGACCATCTCATCGACATACTCAGAGGGAACCTCCAGAGACCAGTTCAGCAACCAGGGTATCCTGTGACTATCGCCACAAACGTCGTAAGGCCTCAGGTGGGGACCAGGACATTTCTGATGGAAGAACGCAGAAGCACTCTAAGGAGGAAGATAGAAAATCCAGTTCTCAAAAAGGCTCCGAAAATAGACAGTCCGTTTGTTTTAATGTTGGAAGAGGGAGAGAGACTGAAGGTGGGCAAGCCAAAGAACCTTCCAAATCATCTAAGAAAGACTGCACTGACTGCACTCCCTCTACACATTCAAGTAAAAGTGATGTTGGCTCGAAACCCTGCAGCAACAAACGGGAGAAAAGAAAGAAAGAAGGGGGTGGCAGAAAAGAGAGCAACTCTTCCAGCAACCAAGCTGATAAAAGTAAACTTTCCAAAGTGAAACCTTCATCTGCCAGTCTTAAGAAGAAATCACTTACTGTTAAAATAGATGCGAAGAAAACAATAAATACATCCAGGTATTATTTTTGTTTTTTTCTTTGTGCTATTTAAGAAAAATATGTTTCTGCCACCTTTATTTGAAGCTTTGAAACTGGAACTCACGGTGTGTTTAGAATCCATTGAGTGGGGAGGGATTGCCTGGATTTTTTCACACAAGCCCTGTAATGAGGATGAATCCATGATTAGTAATACAGAGTGATCTCATGTCTACTGGTTTCCACATCTCAAGTATCTCAAGATACTTTTTTGGTGCAGGGTACTCTCTGGAGTTGTTTCTTTTCATGAATTTATGTTTCTGTGCTGCTAGATTTTCTGTAACCAGGAATAGGCTGGGTGGAGTTAAAGGTGCCATTCCTTGCTCAGTTTCTCAGAGCCTGTTTTCCCTGTTGCCTCAAATCCAGAGAATTTTTTATCTGGAAGGGGCTCTTCACTGGCCGTGATTTTATAGAGGAAGAAAGCGAGGCCTTGAGAGATGAAGCGACTTGTCTAAGTCAGAGCACCTGTAGCTCAAAGAGGCAGGTAACCTCACTTGGTTCCTGCTGCCATCTCAAAACAATTGGTGCTCAGCCAACTAGCTTCTCCTAGGTAGAGGAAATTAGGCTAGAGTCTAGAAAGAGACCTTTTTTAAGACATTCACTTTAGCTCTTAATGATTCTTAAAAAAAAAATAGACTACTGTTTTAATAGGTTATATTCTGCTAAAGTGGTTTGCATACTTTGTTCAGTTATGCATATTACCTCGGTTTATGGATTCTGGAAATAATAAGGCACTACAGTTGACTATGTCAGCTAAGTCTGTTCATTACCTTAATACACTACCAGTATGTGAATAAATAAAGTGATGGGCTGTGATGATTTGATGCATTTATGTTTACAGTTCATTCATACTTGTATTGCAATCAAAAATAATTTTAAGCAAAATCTAAGGTCAGAATATGACAGGGAGGGAGGTAAACCCACAGGCTCTCTTTCTTTTTTTTTTAAACATATGTATATTTTTTCTTAAAGTTAGATATGGCAGTCCTTCTCCCTCGTATTTCCCTTACAGTCATGTACTTACAAAAATATTGTAAAATATACATATGTATATGTCCACAGAAAGCATTTATAAATATGATAATGTTCTAGAAAGTTGGACAAATAGAGGGGGGAATCACCCAATATTCTACTACCCTAGGATAGTTTTATTAACAGCTTAGTACAGCTCCTTTTGTTATTTTTCTGTGTATATCTATACATGGTTGTCGTAATACTATATAATTTTGTATTCTATTTCATATAATAAGCCTTAAATCATTTTGTGCTATTATATTTCCTGCTAGTTCTTAACCTTAAGAGCACAAAAACTACTGTAAGCATCAACTTTGAGGATGTTCCCTCAAGCTTTTTTCTTTTGAACATTACACTATGAAAATGTCCAAATACACAGAAAAGTTGAAAGAACTGTATGGTAAATACTTATATTCCTACCACTGAGGGTCTACAATGAAAATTTTACTCTACTTTCATAATCATGTATCTGTCCATTTATCCATCAATCATTCCATCTTATTTTTTCCATATATTTCAAAGTGGATTATAGATATTAGTACCCTCCCCTTTAAATTCTTCAGTATTTCATTTTTGTTTACAATTTTTTCCTTTGGAGACAAAATTGCATACAATCAAATCACAGGAATCTTGAATTTTTTTAATAGAAGTAATGATACACCTATATTTAATAATGATGTTAAAAAATTAGTTAACTTAATTCTTTAATTAATTAACTTAAAAGAGATTAATAAATTGGTTTAAAAAAATAAATTGGCTTAACACTTTTAAAGAATCTTAAAAATATCAATTCTGAAGGATTTTTTTGTAATCTCATAGAAATATTGAACATGGTTAATTTTATAATTAGATATTAAATGGAAGCTTGATTTTCATTATGTGTCACAAAAATAAGCTTCCCAAAATTGAAGCTGCTGTATCTTTTCTTTTAAATTGATGAATTATAATTTTGTGAAATTTATGACCTGTCAGCACATGTCTGAATTACCTGACAAAGACCTTAGGATGACTTGATCCTTAGGATGGCTTGTGTAGCAGAGCTACCACTGCAAATCCTTCCTATTCAAAGACCTGAAGAATAAATAACTTTGTAAATATATGCATCTTGACAGTATGATAAAGCATAGTCGACAAAATCTCTCTGATGATAATTATTTATTGATGAATGGTTAAGTTGTGAAGAGTTTTGTGGGGTTGGATTTAATTATATATGGACTGATGAAGTATCCATAAAACAAAGGCAGTTAATGCCTTCAACAGAGTCATGTTTTCAACTATTAGCATAACTTAGATTTTCCTCTGCTTGAAAAGATTAAAATAATCATAGAGTGGAGAGACGTTTATTTGTTGGTTAAAATCTAGAGGGTTTATCCATTTTTTTGAAAATCTGAGATGGTTGTTTATGCATTCATTTGCTTTCTTAGCTTTGATCACATATCAGTGTATGTTCTTCCAGTTATCATTGTAGTTGAAGACATATGTGATTAGGCTAGTGATTTTTCTAGATTCCAGTTTGTATCTAGAACAGCAGTAGATTGACACTTGCTTGAATGTTCACTGCATAGTTAATACTTCTGTTAACAAAAGCTATATTCTAATGACCCACTTTGTCAGAAACTGCATCATCAGAGGTAGAAGTTACCTATAAGTCATAATTACATGTTTCAGAGTGTAAATTACGGAGTCATAATATGAAAATTTCTACAAATGCTATTATGAATTCCAAACACTGCTGTGTACATCTTGAAGTTTTGGGGCAGATGAAGGGAGTTTGGGTTTAATGTTGAGCAAGTAGGTGAGAGACTGAACCTTGTTCAGGCTAGGGAGGAAATGTAGAGAGGAGCAGGGGGTGCCATTCTCTGGAGAATAAGCTGGTATGGATGGACCTGAGGCTCCTTTGACCTCCCTGGCTGCTGGTACTAGGTGTCTAGGATGGGAAGGTTGGCTATTAAAGTTGATATTAAAGTTCATATCAGTCACATATGCATATATATCCTTTTATCTCTTACCCCCCCCACCCCAGAAGATACAGGGAGGGCCTCCCTATCCCCATCAGCTATTTCCCCATCCTGAAGGAGGATGAGGTGGGTGATGGGACCCAGGAGACATCAGAGCTCTGATGCTCTAAGGAAAGAGGTGCCACACGGGTGGGGGACCAATCTGAAAAACCATAGGATTGAAGGAAGGTAACCCAGTGACACAAGTTTACCTACCTGTGATATGCCATGGGTGGAGATACTTTTGTGATAACACAAACCTGCTACCTCACTGTTTATTATCAGAAAAAGCTAAGATTTTCCCCCTAATATTTCTAATATACGTTTTTAAAAATCAAAAATCAATTGAGATAAGCTTCCCTTTCATTCCTATTTTTCACCCTAGCTTCTCTAGTGTGTCTTAGGGAACCTAGCATAAGAAGATGAATATTCTGTTTTGGGTAGGGGTACATCAGTTTTTGTTTCCTACTGGGTCCCTGAGCACTCGGACATTGGCAGACCACCTCTCCATGCCTTTTTGGGCCCAAATTAACCTGTAGTTTCTCCTCCTGGCTTTACAACTTTGCTTCCATTGGCCATGTGTTGGTAACTATTGAAGCTGGGTTGACAGGCTCATCATAGGATTTTCTGAACTTTTGTATATATTTGAGATTTCATATTATAAAAAATAAAATATTTAAATTTTAAATTGGTCTAAATGAAGTTATAATTTTAAAATAAAAGCAAGCCAAGAAAGTTTTTAAAAACACACTTAAATTGGCCTCAATTAGAATTTTGAAGTCTGTCAACTTTTTAGCTAAAACTGTTATTTCAAATTGTCTAAGTTGTTTTCCATTTATTATTTCTTCATTCAGCAAGTATTTTTTTGAAGACCCACCTTGTGTGAGACAGCCTGTTAGGGTACCCTGGGACTATAAATTGGCGTAGGATTGGGTTTCTTTTCCTCTGGTCTAATAGACAATAGGGCGATGGTGTTAATACCATGGCACAGTGAGTGATACACAAGGTGGGGGATTCTGGGAAGGCTTCTTTTAGGAGTTGTTGACATGTGAACTAGGCTTCAAAGGTTTTAAACATGTGGAGATGAGATGAAAGACATTTTATATTTATGGGTTAACAAAGGCAGACAGCGCACACAGGAACTTTGAGCTGTGCTTCAAGTGGTCAGTGAAAGGGAATAGATGGACAGGAGGCTGTGAAGGTGACATTGCCACACTGCCAGCCTGGTTTGACAGGAATAGCTGATCAGAGAGGGCAGGAAGCTCAGTTCTGGCTGCTGCCTTCTTTCTGTGAGGTGACTTGGATGGGCACTGGGGTTGGAGAGGCCAGTTCGAGGAACTTTGTGGAAAAAAAAAATGCTGAATTAGGGGAATAGCAGTTCTCCCTAACCCTTTACCCTCAGCTTTGGAAATGCTAAGTATCTTTTGAGGAAGACAGGAGCAAATGAATAACTGGGAGAGTGCTCTTTGAGCAATAAGATGCTATTCTTAAGAGATAACTGAGAAAAGACAACTTGATATGTGTCGTAAGCTTCCAGAGGGCAGAAGATCATCCATTAGTTTGGGTTATTCTTGGGCTTTTTGTAATTGTTGTTTTGCCATGCAGTTGGGTTTTTTGATGGATCTTAACTGTATGTAAGAGGAAATTAAGGTTTAATGTGGCTTTTTGTATTTTCTTAGTTATTCACAACACTCAGTGAGAACATCAGGGGAAATGTCCTTAGAGAAAAACAAAACAAAACCAAAAACAAGTGGAGTTGGAGCAGGGAAGAAAGAAACCTGGAAAATTTCATTCGAACAGTATCAGAAGTAGTACTAGAATACAGATGTTTGGCTATATTTTAATTTTTAAAACTAAACTGCATCTCAAATGAGAACATTTAGTCTTTTCAGCTTACCTACTTGTATTGGAAGTATTTCTTGAAATTATGAAGTTGTTAATCAATGCCTGTCTTAGGAAATAGTGAAAGGAAAATGTGAACCAAGAGGTGATTAAATGTATAAATGTAAATACTTAGAACATTTTGCATTCTCCAGTTTCAAGAAGCCGTTTCTTATAGCAAAACCATCATATTGTTTCTAAAAGACTAAAATTTCAGGTAATATGATTTTAATATTTCCTAGGAAATGACAATTTTGACATTTTTTAATAAGAAATCTTGCAGTGGACTAACTCCAGGATAAATTGATAGGAAATGTAAACACTAAAATTTCGGGAATTAAGTATAGCTGTAAAGTATACCATAGCACTCCTAGGGATTGAGGGTTGGGCATGGAGTGGGTATAAGAGTTATATCAGTAATTAACTTGTAATAAATGACAAGTGAATTTTAATAATTACCAGGTGGAAAACTGGAAACCTTTACAACTAGTTTCCTCATGGGAGAAACTGAGGCTGAAGTACAAAATGTTATCAACTGATTTCCCCTTATGGACGGACCATTTTTGTAGTTCTATTTGAATATCTTATTTTTCTCCTGTAAAATGTTTTTAAAAGCATTTTTTTGTATGGAGCAGACTTTTTGTACTGTTAAAAACAGTATTTGTAATTGTTTGTTAGTAGAGGTTGTTACGGGCCATTCTAGCTTCCAGTGTTTATCACTGAATGTCTCTGTTATCAGATACGCAGTGGGAAGCTTGGAGCAAATTAGGAAGAAAGAAGGGAAGTGAGTCTTCTAATTAAAGTCTTTCTGATGAATCAAGGAAACCATAGCATTGGCATCAACCTGCTGCATAATCACTTTTCCAAGTTTCTGCTCTGGCAGGGAGTTGTCTCAACAGTGCTAGTTTGAGAGCAGGGAGCATAGAAAGTCATATGGAAGGCTTGCCTCTGTTAAGTTAAAAATAGACACATAAAACCTTCTTATCAGAGAAGTTAAAAAGTTTAAAGAGTATCTATAAGCTCCTCATTACCCTGGAACAGTTTCATATATATGGCTATTAAGTGACTTAAATAAATTAATCTGTGCATGTGTACACCCACACCCCAAGATGTATCCATCAGATTGCTGTTATTTATTCCAGCGGTGCTACTGTTATTTAAAACATATTTCAGGGCTCTCTTGTGGGTTTATCTTCAGTCTGTACCATACTCATAAAGAACATCAGCACTTGTAAATCTCAGTTCTTTGGTAGTGAACATGATTTTTGGGAAGAAGCAAAAGATATTTAGAGTTAAATGCAGAGGAGTAAGATGGCTGTAAGCTAGTTAGTGCCATTTTGGGTCCAAAATGAGGTATAAATATAAAATAACAAGACATTTTCTTCTGTGACACATAATCTGCCTCCAGACAAAGAATTTAAGAGTAGTTTTAAGCAAGAGCAGCTTTCTTGGAATAAGGTGTAGTTTCCCATTATGACACTTGGAAGGATTATGTTCATAACAAACACTCAGCTTCTGGGATGGAAAGCAAAACACCCAAGACATCCATTGTCCCAGTGTCAAAGCACCTTCCCCATAGGGCTGTTGTAAAGATTAAATGAGGTAATGTTTGTAAACAAGGTCTGAGCCCCTGTGTTTGGCTTGCAGTAAGCCCCCAATAACTGTTGGCTATATGTCATAATCATGACTTCATAATGACACAGAAAGGTCAAGAGAGCTTCTAACACAAGTTATAAAGATTCAGGAAACATTAGAGTGGTAGAATAGCTGGTTTTATATAACAAAAATAACAAATAGTAGCATTTCTTTAAGGATGCATTTAGGGTGAACACTAATTGGTTCTAAGGATCATAACTTCGCTAACAACTAAGACTATTTGCTGACAGTTTAGTGAGATCTTATAAGTGATTAATCCCAACAGAGTTTGATTTCAAAATACTGTTTCTCATTGCTGATATAGAGGTTTAAGGATTTTTATGAAGTCAAAGAAGTTATTATGTTTGATAACAGCTTTTAAAGTGTGGTAGTACTTCAGGATAGCATAAGCTTGCTAGATACACAATTTCATGGACATTTGGGAGTAGAAAATAATCTAATTGATTATTTTTTGCATATTGACCTTTGATGCCTTGCTGTATTTTTTGAGGTAAAAATTGTTTAACTTAGAATTTTGAGGATTTTATTATTAAAGTGGCAAATATTTAATGATCTCTGATTTGAAAAGGAGAACTCAAAACCATGTGTCTAAGGCTATTTCCTCCTACGCATTATTGCACATGTTCTATGGCATACAGTTTAGTGCCTTAACTATAAGAAAAGATAAACATCTTTTTAGTTTTATAGCTATCTTGATTAATTTTAATAAGTTCTTTTCTCAGTACACAGTTTCCAATTTAGTTAAACATTTACAAATTATTCTAGGGCTGCTTCTAGCTATTCCACAGAGAGACAGATGTCACATGATTTGGTTGCTGTTGGCAGGAAAAGTGAGAACTTTCATCCAGTGTTTGAACATCTTGACTCAACTCAGAATACTGAAAACAAACCTACAGGAGAATTTGCTCAGGAAATCATAACTATAATCCATCAAGTTAAAGGTTGGTATATTTTGCACATACATTAGGGATAACACAAAAATAATGTACTGATTTTTCACAAGATAAAGGTAAATATCTGTGATATAGTAATAGTAATATTTCATTATAAATTAGGTCATTAATAAGGAAATCTGTTGGAGAGAGTGTAAGGTATTAATTCAAGCCTAGTTCTTCATGTGTTGTTCCAATAACCTGATACTTCAAAACATAGTAGATTACAAATTGAAAGTCAGAAAGGGAGAGGATGGATTCTACAAGAGACAGGACTATCGAGAGTCGCGAGAAACAATAACTGATAACCAAACAGGAAGGAGGAAGCAACAAACACCTTATATAAAACTGGACAAGAACTCTGGAAGTCTAGGTATTTTGGTGATATTCTTAAAGCCCCCTGAGGGCGTTGCTGGGACTTTGTGCCATAACGGTGAACATGAAGTGATTGATAAAAAATTCCAGTTTGATTTGGCATACTCCATGGCATCAGGGAGTTGTATCACAAACACTTTAAATATTTGCATTAAATTGTTTCGTTTTCGCTTCTGGCCAGTTTCCATTAATTGGAAAATTCAGTCACATAGAACACCTTTCTTCATTGATGCTGCATAATAAAGCAATCGTGGGTATGATAAACTGGAGACCTTCAAGAATTTCAAAATTTTTATTTTATATTTCTTACTAGATATTTGCACTGATTTTTTAAAAAGATTTTATTTATTTATTCATGAGAGACCAAGAGAGAGAGAGGCAGAGACACAGGCAGAGGGAGAAGCAGGCTCCACGCAGGGAGCTGGATGTGGGACTCGATCCCGGGTCTCCAGGATCAGGCCCTGGGCTGAAGGCGGCGCTAAACCACTGAGCCACCTGGGCTATCCCTGATTTTATTTTTACCTTCATGCAACATGTTTTGAAAATGGATTATTTTCTCTGCATCCTCAAACTAAGGCACATACTTACTTTGAAGCATGCAGTTTGTCTGAAACAGTTCACCTTCTCAGTTCCAGCCCCTCTCACCCAAAGGAAGTGTGATTCTTGGAGGAAAGGCAGGTGGTAGTGCAGAAAAATCCAGGACATTGTCCCAGAGTAGGAGCAGTAAATTAGGGAAAAGGATTGCTTAAATAGCATTCTGATGGGTCAAGTGTATTACCTTTCTCTCTATCCTGTTAAAAGCCTTGTAGCATAGCTTATTTCATACTGTCTTCATGAGCTTCAGTTCATGTTAATTAAAGTACAATGGCAGTAGGACTCCTTCTGTGATATATAAATAACATTTAGCTTTCGTTCAGAATTGTTTTGATGTTTCCGGCTTGTTTTTGAGTTTTTTTTTTACTCTAGGTGAATTGTAAAACTCTGTGCCATCTTTACTTCCCAGTATACTAAGGTCTTACCTGGGAGAAGAAAGGTACTCACTTTGAGAGAGCCACTATCTTTTCCCCCAACAAATAAGCAGGCATGTCTAATAGGAACAGAATCCTTGGGTTGATAAGTCAGGCTTTTTTTTTTTTTTTTTTTTTTTACTGTTGATTAGGCTTGGGAAAGCATGCGAGCACTACAAATTAGTCTGTGGAACACGTTTAGGTGCCACATATTTTCGAGAGAAAACAGGTTGGACGTTTTTTTTTTTTCACAGTCCCTTCTTCCTGTGCTTATATGTAATCTTTTAAGTGATAATCAGTTTTACACTGAGATAAACTATTTGTTTCCTTTTTCAGCAAATTATTTTCCATCATCTGACATTACTCTACATGAGCGTTTTTCAAAAATGCGAGATACACAAGCTGCAGATGTAAATGAAATTAAATTGAATTCAGATCCAGAAATTCACAGGTAATGATTGATTATTGTATGCCCATTTAACTCATGGGAATAAACCTCAGAACAGATTCAGGAAGGTGCTGCTTTCTGTCTTGCTGTAGACTCTAGGACTGCATTTCCTACCTAAAAGCCAGGACTAACCCAAGCAGGTACTGGGCCATTGCACTTTGACGGAATCGGTTGTATTAAAGCCATTGACTAGTATTGTTTAAATGTGTAGGACTTTGACAATCTTTACCTACCTAACTTTGATTCTGTGTCTATAGTAATTGCCTACTGAAGTTATCACTGGAAGAATGAAAGACAATTATCGAGCCATTGAAATCATGGGTTGCTTCATGTTGTCAGAAATGGCTGTTCTGAGGGCAGCCGGATGAAAACCTATGTCTTCTTCTGCTGGCACCTGTCCGCGCAGGTGGTGTGCCGTGTCTTGCGAGCTGAGCTGAATCAATGTTAGAATGCAGTAGATCACCGGAGCAAAGTTTAAGGTTACACAGACTAGTGATTTGAGAACCACTAAGGCGTCACTATCATGTTGTTCACAGGATATGTGTGTCCTGGGAGACTGCCATGTAGATTGAACATCCAACTTGGCAGGAGGTTTCTTTTGCTTTTTCCAAGACACACCAGCTTTATTTCAAATTCCATTCTCTAGTAATGGAATCAAGGTATCAGTGTATAACATAATTATTTAATTGTAATATGCCTTTATTATTTTAGGAGAATAGATATGTCTTTGGCTGAGCTTCAGAATAAACAAACTATGGTATATGAATCAGAACAGGTAAGTGAATACAATTTTTGCTGAAAGATTCTCATTGTTGGCATATTGGTGGAAAAGGGAACCGGTAATGGAGAGTAAAAAAGGGATTTAAAGTGGGTGTGAAAGAAGGATTGTGACCCAGGAATCTGAAATTTACAAAGCTCTCCAGATTATTCTAGTTACTGGCCAGGTTGCAGAGAGAACGCTGACAAAAGACAAAAATATTCCCTAAGAGAGACAATCCCTAAGGGTAACAGCTTTGTAAAATTGACCTACAGTTATAGTGTTAATACTCATTCTAAAACTTCACACTGTAAAGCTTGTGGAAAGTATGTTTGATACCTACATTTTTCCCCAAGCAGTCATGTGGAATATTTTTTTAGATTGCACATGGAATGAATGCAGAGGAACTAAGTTTAGTTTGATATTGCCCTTCTTGTACTGTAGAATGTATGAAAAATTCTGTGGAATATGAACTAGCAAAATAATGAAAATAATACTGAATTTTTGTATTGCCATGCATTGTATTCCCACTCAACACTTCCTCAACTCATACATTCCCCCCACCTCCCCTCATTTCTTTGCTAATTAGAAAAACTCTCTGGACTGGGGCACGGGGAAGAAAACTGGCTCTTGGTTTAGAAGTATATCAAGTTCTCAAAGAACTGCTAATTTATTCATTGAGAGTAAAGTGTTTTTGTAGAGGAAGAATTTTAATACATTTCTGATAGAATATGTAAATAATTTTTTTCACTTGTAAATAGTTAAAATTTTTATTAAACTTACAGAGAGGTAGTTTGGTTTATTGAATAGATGCTATTTTCAGAAAATTTCCACTCCACTCATCAAAATTCTATAACCAACTCATAGGAAAATTGAAAAATCACCTCTAATTCAACCACTTAACACAAAATATCATTTGATCATCTTTTATCACAGTCTTACATCTGGCATTTTAACATAGCCACTACCATACTATATTAGTTTCAGATGCTTTTTGCTTTTTACTTAATAATATTGCTTTTATGTAAAATCTCTAAGCTCCTCATGATTTTTTATGACTGAGGCTTTTCAAATTTTAATTAACTTTTCTCAGTAATTTTTTTTCATGTTGACTTCCACATAGCCTATGTTAACCATAATTTAAATGTTAGTGTATTATTAGACTTAAATTTCCCATGAAATCATCCTTCCCTCTCCTAAAAATTTATTTTCCATTTACATTGCTTTCATTTTTTGATAGTTTTAAATATAGCACTTTGAACATATTTGGGTAGATAGCCTTTTCGTAGGGATAGTGTCCGAGAAGTGGGATTCCTGGTTCATTGTTATGAACTTTTCTGTCTGTGCATTGTCGATTGTGTCTCAAGATATTTTAATCGATTTACACTACCATTAACAGGGTGAATACAAGGTAACTTATTTAGGACTTTTACTTAAGGTTCTTATTAGATATGGTCTTTGTGCAACTAACAGTAATGTGAATGGTTTGTCTTCTGTCAAAATTCCTCAGACTCTGGTCAAAATAATAGATCCAAATGATCTACGACATGACATTGAAAGAAGGAGAAAAGAACGGTTACAGAATGAAGATGAGCACATTTTTCACATAGCTAGTGCTGCAGAGAGGTAATCAGTAGATGAAAAACATCCTATTATCAGGGAGTTTTTGGTTTTAGCATATTTTTCAATTTTTGTGTGTGATGATTTTCATTTTAGTGTAGGGATTTAATCCTTCAAATTCATTTTATATGTTTAAGTGAAATCTTTTAAAATGTTTCAAAGTTATTCAGTGATCATCATATGCTGTTTGATTGAAACAACAAAAATTAAGGGGTAGGTGAGTATTTGAGGTCTTTGTAATTTTAGAAAAGAGTATAACAGCTTTTTGAATATTTGCAGGTGCCAGGACCTGCAAGTTTATGGACTGTTTGATTCAACCTCACTGAAACTGACACATTCTGCCCTTTAGATTCTGGTGCTCTTTGAATATTACAAAATTTCCTGAGATTAATACAGTTCTCTTTTGGAACTTTTCATGGATGTCTGTCCATGAAGCAGAGGTAGGGGTAGTAGAAAATGTGGAGGAGACAGGAGTTGGAATCCCACCTCTGCCATTTTATAAGCTGTTTGCTCATGGGCAAACTGGCTTAGTTTCTAGAGCCTTTTCCTCTATAAAATGAGATGAACTAATTTACGATGTAGACAGCTTAGACATATTAAATGAGCTGGCACATGCCAAGTACTTATGCCATGCATGGCAAATTGATTATCAGTAGATCCTTGTTTTTCTTTCCCAATTCTGTACTTCTTTTAGGGGCTCTGAGTATTTTAGATTGGCCCCAGTTTATCACTAGTTTTAAAAACTATGTGGGATTCATGGCAACTCTGGGGCCCCATATAATTATGAGGTATAATGGAATAAGACAACATTTATACTTCACCCAAGGATCTTCAGGCTATTTAGATCTCTCAGAAAGTAGGAATATATGAACAGGAAGGGCCAGTGTTAATTCTCTTTCCGTATCCCTTAGTATCAAATTACTAAGATAACTGACTAGCCTTTTAAGTCAAGTCTGTGGCTAACTAGGTCTTAGTCAAAATACATGGAGCTTGTTTAAAACTGGACTTGATGCTGACAGCAAGTTTGGAACTCATTAAAAGATAGCTATTTGTTGAGGCATATAAAACAACTGAAAGTGGTTAGAATCTCATCCTTTGGTGGGTGAAAGTCTCTAGTTTCCCAATATGACACAGCATGACTGCTCTTTAGCGACATAAGCTCTCTCTCATGCTTTTCTTAACTCAGCAAGTGTAAGAAACTCAGTGTGCCAAGAAAGAGGATTTTTAAACCAGATTTAAAATAATCAGCACTTTATAAAAACCATGTAATATGTAATGCTTTAGAATATATCTTCACCCTTTGAGATGAAAAAGTGCTTGAGCCCTGGAGTTGCACCTGAGTTCAACATCCAGCTCTGTAGACACCTAGCTACGTGACTGATCTTAGGCAAGTTATTTAATTTTCATTTCCTCATACATCAAATACAGATGAGAATTATACTTAGCTCTCGGTGGTGGTGAAGATTAACTAAAGTGACAGGTGTGAGGTACAGAGTAGCTGGTCAGCATTAAGTATTATTAATATTTGCTTTGAGGATGGTGTGTAGTGTGCAAAGATAGCATTCTGTACAGTGTCTTTTGCTAGGTGTGTTGAACTGTTTTATTTGTATTGGATAGCTGGTGTGGCATAGCAGAGCCATGTGGATTTTTTGTCTTTTAGCCATGTGGATTTTTTAAATTGAAATATTACTGACCGTAAAATTCATCCTTTGAAAGTGAACAATTTAGTAGTTTCTAGAATATTCACAAAGTTGTGCAGTTGTCACCACTGTCTAATTCCAGAGCATTTTCACTACTCCACAAAGAATCCCTGTAACCATTAGTTGTCATTCCCTCTTTCTCCATTCCCTCAGCCTCTGGCAACCACTAACCTACTTTCCATCTCTGTGGATTTTCCTATTCTGGACATTTCATATAAATGCAGTCATGCAGTATCAGGCCTTTTGTGGCTGACTTCTTTCATTTAGCATATGATTCTCAACATTACTCCATGTTGTAGTGTGAATATTTGTTTTATGGCTGAATAATATTCCATTGTATGGATAACCATATTTTGTTTATCCCCTCACCAGTTGGTGGATATTTGGGTTCTTTACACTTTTTGACTATGGTTAATTATGGTGCTGTGAACATTCATGTGAAAGTTTTTGTGTAGACATATGTTTTCTTTTCTCTTGTGTATATACATAGGGTTGGAATTGCTGGGTCCTATGATAATTCGGTGTTAAACTTCTTGATGAACTACCAGACAGTTTTCCACAATGGCTGCCTCATTTTGTATTCCCATTAGCAGCGTATGAAGGTGCCAGTTTCTTCATATCGTCACAAGCACTTGCTATTGCACATCTTTAAAAAAAGATTTAGAAAAAAATTATTTAGAATCTTTATATTTATCCTAATTTGATTTCCTTCTTAAAATAAGAAATAAACTGTTGATTTTATCCTTTTGTCTTAGAAATTCAGTCTATGAAATTGACCTCATTACTATTTTTGCATAAACCTTTTTAGTCAAGTGTTTAGATTTCTGTAGAAATTCAGAAGAAATGAAATATGAAATCATAAATCACAGGATATTGCAGTTTCCCACCTGTGTGATCTTTTCCCCCTCAAACAGTTATATGCAAGTTATTTGTGTATGTTTGCCCACCATTGTATCCCCACTGCCTTGAGCTCAATTGAATGAATGTTGACTGAATGAATGAAGACTTTGCAAAGGAGTATATAGGACGGAGGATACCTACATTGTAATATATTTAAGCCTTCTTTTAAGCCTGATTACCTTTTATTCCCTAATACATAAGGTAATCTTTCCTGAGCAAGCCTAATGCTAGGACATTCTCAAAAACTCTGTTCTCTCTTTTTTCCTCACTTCTGACCAATATCTTATCCTAATGTCTCTATGTCTTTTCCTGACCCACTCTTTCTCCCTCTTGTAACCACCATTACTAAGTTCCATACAGTGTTACTAAGTGTTGTGCTATATAGGCATGATGTAGTGGAGATGTAGTGGAGCATAAAGAAGCTTCAAAATAGAATCAGTAGACTTTGAGAGGACATCAGATTGCAGAGACTTTCCTTTTAGCTACACAGGGTATAGAAAATATACAGTGAAAAGGCATACACAAGGTCCTTATCCTCATCAAGCTTACAGTTTAATGGTAGGAGAAAATAAATAAATACATGTCAGTGAGTGATAGGTGAAAATAAGGCACAAGAGGAAGTCTATTAGGACAGAATAATATGTGTGGTGTGTTTTTATTTAGATAGTTATAGAATGCATTTAGAATTTTTTTTTAATTGAGCAGAGATGTGAATTAAGTGAGGGAATTCACCATAGGTTTTTTTTGGGGGGATAATATTTTTTAAGAGCAGGAACAGCAAAGGCAAAGACCCTCAGGCAGGATCATGCTAACTCTTATTTAAGAACTAGAAAGCAGACCAGTAAGGTTATGACACAGTGGGAAATGAAGAGAGTAAGTAGGTAAGGCCAGATTGTTGAAGAGCCTTGGAGGACATGATGACTTTGTATTTTACTCTGAGTGAGATTAGGAAACATTTGGGGTTCTAACCCAAGAAGAAATATAATCTCATTTAAATTTTAAAAGATTCACCTTGGTTGCTGGGTAGAGAATGGATTTTAAGAGCAAGAGAAAAATCATTTCTTTCTCATCTAGAAAAAGATTACAGTCAGGAAGTCAGAGCATGGTAGGTAGGGTCAACCTATCAGGAAACTAGCCTCCTCAGATCTTGTTCCTCAGATATCCTCTCCACGTGGTATCTTCCTTATGGTCCAGGATGGGTGTTTGTGCCCTACCCATCATGTCCATAGTCTAGTCTTGTCTTTAAAGACTATGGAATTGATACATGCAGCTTCAGCAGCATTGGTCAAAATTTAGTCTCATGGCCATACTTAGCTGCAGAGATGCTGGAAAATAGTTTCTTTAATTTGGACACTCATTTGCCTGGTCACAAATCAAATATCAAAGGGTTTAAATTTTTTATTTTTTAAAAAAATTTTTTTGGGGGGTTACATTTTTTATTGTGGCAAAATATACATATAATAAATTTACATTTTCACCATTTTTAAATGTACAATGCATTGGCATAAAGTACATTAACAGTGTTGTGCAACCATCCACATTATCCACTTCCAGAATTTTTTCATCTTCCCAAATAGAAACTCTATACCATGTAAAGAGTAACTCTGTATCCTCTTTACTCCCAGCCCCTGATAACCTCTGTCCTTTCTGTCTCTGTGAATTTGCCTGTTCTAGGTAATTTATATATATATATATATATATATATATATATATATATATATATATATATAAAGTAGAATCATATAATAATTGTCCTTTTGTGTCTGGCTTATTTCACTTAGAATAATATTTTCATCCATGTTGTATCATATGTCAGAATTCCATTTTTTTAAAGATTTAGTTATTTATTTATTTATGATAGACAGAGAGAGAGAGAGAGAGAGAGAGAGAGAGAGAGAGAGGCAGAGACACAGGAGGAAGTAGAAGCAGGCTCCATGCCAGGAGCCCGACGTGGGACTCGATCCCGGGACTCCAGGATCGTGCCCCGGGCCAAAGGCAGGCGCCAAACCACTGAGCCACCCAGGCATCCCCCAGAATTCCATTTTTTAAAAAAAGTCACTCCTTCATAAGGCTGAATAATATTCCATTGTATATACTACATTTATTTGTCCATTTTTCTGTTGATGGACATTCAGTTTCCGGCTTTTACCTATTGTATATAATGCTCTTAAAACGTTGGTGGCATCATCTTTTTGATTATAGCCATCCTAGTGGGCATAAAATGTTATCTCATTGTGGTTTTGATTTGCATTTCCATAATGGCTAATGATGTTGAACATCTTTTCATGTGCCTTTTGTGTGTCTTCTTTGGAGAAATGCCTATTCAAATCCTTTGCCCATATTTTAAATTGGATTATTATATTTTTTGAGATGTAAAGAATTCTTTATATATTGGACATTACTCCATTATCAGATATATGCTTTGCAAAGAGGATTTTTAAAAGTCCATTGTTTTATTTATAAAAGTAATAGTATATGCTAATGGCAAACATTTGGAAGTATACAATAAAGTATAAAAATATAAGGCATTCTTAATTTCATGAATCAGAGATGACCATTGTTAATCATTAATACATTTCCTGTCATTTGTTTTTTCTGGGCATATATGTAGTATATTTTATTTTTTTTAAAATTTTTTATTTATTTATGATAGTCACACACACAGAGAGAGAAAGGCAGAGACACAGGCAGAGGGAGAAGCAGGCTCCATGCACCGGGAGCCCGATGTGGGATTCGATCCCAGGTCTCCAGGATCGCGCCCTGGGCCAAAGGCAGGCGCCAAACCGCTGCGCCACCCAGGGATCCCCTGTAGTATATTTTAAATAATTAAAATTATCCTTGGGGCACCGGCTGGCTCAGTCAGTAGAGCACATGACTCTTGGTCTCAGGGTTGTGTTCCAGCCCCACGTTGGGTATAGAGGTTACTTAAAAAATTATTTAAATTTTTTTAAAGTAGATTCCATGCCCAATGTGGGGCTCAAGCTCATGACCCCGAGATCAACAGTCAGTTGCTCTACCAGCTGAGCCAGCCAGGCACCCCCCCCCAAAAAAAAGCCTTAGAATAAGTTATCCTCCAAATACAGCTTTGCACCCTACTCTTTTGACTTACTATCATATCATGAGCATTTTGACAGAACATGAGAGTTTTTAACATTTCATAATACTCTGAGTAGCTATTCCATGTCAGGTTTTGGGATCAAAGCTGGGACCACAAAATGAACCACCTACAGTGCCTCCTATAAAGGGATCACAACTTGCTGGGTAAAACAGGCAGGTGCACCAATAATGAACACGAGTGATATGTGTGAAGACCCCCCCAAGTGCTTATTTGCTTGTAGCAGGGGTATCTAGTCTACCTCAGAGGGCTCTGGAAAAGTCTTCCTGGAACAGTGCAGATGGAGCTAAATCTTGAAGTTGATCTAAGTGGAAGGAAACCACAACAGAAGGGATTGCTTATACAAACTCATGGAAACAGGAGAGATTTTGTATGTTGGGAACTGCATGTGACTAAATGTTTCCAATGCCCAGTGTGCATGTTGGGGAGATTGGAACAAAGTGACAGGTGAGACAGGAAGAGCCTTGTAGGTCATGATGAGGAGTGTGGATTTTATCCTGATGTCAGTGGGGGACCCATGGAAGGGATTGAGGCAGGGCTGAGGTAGTGAGCAGTTTGTTCACCACAGAGCAGGAAGGATCTGAGGAACACTGTGGGGAGATATGGGGATGTGGCAGGGAGAGGACTGCTCGAGGGCTATGAAAATGAGGCCCCACCGTCAGAAGAGAAGCCCAAGGAAGGACCTTCCCTCCCAAGTCCGGCTGCCTGAGAAGAGGCCATAGTGGCCTCTAGACATTGTGATGACGGGAGAGGGGAGCTGTCCTTTGTTCCTGTGGCCCAGAAGCAGCAGAGGTCTCAGCTCTGCCAGTGAGGGGACCTGAGCCAGTCACACTCATTGTGTCTGGTGCTTTCCTTAATAGGAGTCTGTCAGCAAGGGGAATCCAGTGCTGCCAAAGTCTCAAGAGCAGTAATTATTTTCCCTCAGAAAACACACATTCTACATATGGTTTCGGGGGTTACAACCCCCAGGAAAACTGTCCTGGAACCCCAGATTAAGAGCCCTGGTCCAAAGAATACTGTTTCCCCCTATTGCTAACTTTCAACTTAGCTAAATAATGTTTGTTGAAAAATAAGGGTTTTAGCCTTGATAACTATCATTTCATTTGTAATTTTAGTAGTGGCAGATCTTTTGAGGTTTGTTGCTGTTATTGTTGATGTTGTTGTTTTTACTATTGTGCTGCTTTAATTGTCTCTGAAGGGGGCAATTTGACTTCTCTTATTTGTTGGGTAAGGTAAACTAATAAAATATTCTTATTTTCTTGCTTTCATTTTATTAGGGATGATCAGCATTCCAGCTTTTCGCGGTTGAAGAATACTAATGTTGATGAATTCCAAAAACCTACAGGTTTTATAAAATCAAATTTTAGAAAATTTATTCAGAAACCTCCCATGGTAAGATTAGAGTTCCAAATTTTTCATTTTTGTACACTCCATTCTCTTCACACATACAGAGATCACCAGTATTTTTCTAACGGCTCATTAAGTACATGTTATGCTTCTGCTATTCAGTGTTAATATTCTGTTGAGTCTTATACTTACTATGATAGAGAAAATAGTAATCTCTGATTTAGTAGGATTTTATTTCATTTATTGTAGTACTAACTTTTTAAAGATTTTTTTAAAAGATTTTATTTATTCATGAGAGACACAGAGAGAGAGAAAGAGAGAGAGAGAGAGGCAGAGACATAGGTAGAGAGAGAAGCAGGCTCCTTGCAGGGAGCCCGATGCGGGACTCGATCCTGGGTCTCCAGGATCACGCCCTGGGCTGAAGGCGGCGCTAAACCACTGAGCCACCGGGGCTGCCCCATTAAGATTTTTTTTTCTTAAGATTTTTTTGGGAACAACTTTATTAAAACGTAATTTACATACCATGAAATTTTCACCCATTTTAGGTATACCATTTAATGATTTTTTTATAAGTCTACCAAGATACATAACCATCCTCATAATCCAGTTTTATAACATTTTCATGACTCCCAGTGATAGCCCTCATGTTTTTAGTTATTCCTTGTTTCCCAACCCTAGCTAACCACTAATATCCTTTGTCTCTCTAAAAGTCGGCCATTTCATGGAAATGGAAAAGCAGTTGGCTTTTGAAATAAGAACAAGCAAATGACAGAAAGTTGGAAGCCAGAGTCTGTTTGTAATTTGATTTTGGAAGTGATGTTCTATCACTTGTATCATACACTGCTTAGAAAAAGCAAGTCTCTAGGTCTAGCTCACACTCAAGGGAAGGGGATGACATAAGGACCTGGATACTAGAAGGTGGGGCTGGGCAGCCTGGGTGGCTCAGCGGCTTAGCGCTGCCTTCAGCCCAGGGTGTGATCCTGGAGACCCAGGATCGGAGTCCCACGTCGGGTTCCCTGCATGGAGCCTGCTTCTCCCTCTGCCTGTGTCTCTGCCTCTCTGCCTGCCTCTCTCTCTCTCATGAATAAATAAATAAAATCTTTTAAAAAATTAAAATTTAAAAAAAATTAAAATTAAAAAAATAGAAGGTGGGCCTCACTGGGAGCCTGGTCAGAAGCTGTCCGGTACCGTCCTCCCGCTGAGCCCTAGTGATTCACATCACTTCACTTGCAGAATACACCCCTCCTTACCGTGGTCCCCCAAAGTCTCTTCTCATTACATATATCTTTGTGCACTTACTCAAATTTATAGACTTAGTATAAATTCAAGATGACTGCTATGAAAAGGTTTTATAGCATACTGCTCAGGGCACATGCTGCTTCTATAACAGCTGGCTCCAAGACAAACACTGAATACAATTTTCACATTTTGTCTTTTTTTGTAAAAGTGAAAACCCTCTTTGGATTACCTTCAGTTAATGTAAACTGGTACTAATGTAGATCTTTCATAAACTACATTTGGCATAGTGTGAACTATATTTACCTTCAGTAAACTGGTACTATGCCTTTTTTTTAACTTGGGGAGAGAGATAAAGGTGTGATAAAAGAAGATTTGTGAGAAAGTACACCAAATAGAATAGCAAATGGAATGAATAGGTTATAAGACTTGATTTTGGAAAAAAGAAACTTCAGGATGGGCCCCATCTTTTCTGTTCCCATTAAAGGATTCTGGTTCTTTGTAGTTGCAGTCTTAATACTCTGACTTTTGATACTTATCATGGCAGGAGCATCACCTCAAATCAGTTAGCTGAGTCAGCAAAACCTGCCTCCTGCAGTGTTGAGAATTTTCTTCTTAGACAATGGGAACCCTTTAGCAACTCCACATAATAATGGGTTTGGTTCTCTTCTGGATGCCTGAATAAATACTAAATGTATAGTCCATTTTCTAAAAGTCATGCATTGTGTTATACAGTAGTATTTTCTTATACTTCTCACATTCATGAATTAAAGTAGCCCCTCATAAACTAGTATGGGTTCCATGGAGGAAGACATATGTATGTTCCTACAGCTAAAATACATGCTACATGTTTTGTGTTCTTAATCCTACACATTTAAAATGTGCGTTTTTAATTTTTTAATTTTTAATTTTTTTATTGAAGTGTAGTTGACAAACTGTATTACATTAGTTTCAGGTATATAACACAGTGTTCAATGAATCTTTGTGTTATGTTCATCACAAGTGTAGCTGCTGTCTGTCACCACACAACATTATTACAATACCATTTACAATATTCTGTATGCTGTACCTTTCCTCTCTGTGACTTATTCATTCCACAACTGGAAGCCTATATCTCACACTTCTTTCACCCATTTTGCCCATCTCCTCACCTCTTCTCCTTTAGCAACTATCAGTTTGTTCTCTATCTATGGGTCTTTTTCTGCTGTTTATTCATTCTTTTTGTTTTTCATATTCCACACGTAAGTGAAATCATACAGTGTTTGCCTTTCTCTGACTTATTTCATTTATCATGATACCCTCTAGGTCCATCCATGTTGTCACAAATGGCAAGATCCCATTCTTTTTTTATGGCCAGGTAATATTCTACTGTATATATGTATCATATTTCTTTAACCATTCATCTATTGATGGATGCTTAGGTTCCTCCCATATCATGGCTACTGTAAATAATGCTGCTATAAGCTGGAGTGCATATATCTTTTTAAATTAGCATTTTCATTTTCTTTGGGTAAATGCCCAGTAGTAGAATTGCTAGATTGTGTGGTAATTCTATTTTTAATTTTTTGAGGGATCTCCATACTGTTTTACAGGGGCTGCACCAATTTACATTCCCACTAAGAGTGCACGAGGATTCCTTTTTCTCCACATCTTTGTCGCTTATTTCTCCACGCTTATTTCTTGGGTCTTTTATTCTAGCCATTTTGACAGGTGTGAGGTGGTATCTCATTGTGGTGTTGATTTGCATTTCCCCGATGATGAATGATATTGAGCATCTTTTCATGTGTCTGTTGGCCATCTGTACATCTTTGGAAAAATGTCCATCTAAGTCCTCTGCCCAAAACTTGTATTTTTAAAATGGTAAGAGGAACTTTAAAAAATAAACTTTAGGGATGTCTGGGTGGCTCAGCAGTTGAGCATCTGCCTTTGGCTCAGGGTGTGATCCTGGATTCCCAGGATCGAGTTCCACTTCGGGCTCCCTACATGGAGCCTTCTTCTCCCTCTGCCTGTGTCTCTGCCTCTCTTTCTCTGTGTCTCTCATGAATAAATAAATAAAAAATCTTTTAAAGGGGATCCCTGGGTGGCTCAGCATTTTAGCGCCTGACTTCAGCCCAGGGCGTGATGCTGGAGTCCCGGGATCGAGTCCTACATCGGGCTCCCTGGATGGAGCCTGCTTCTCCCTCTGCCTGTGTCTCTGCCTCTCTCTCTCTCTCTCTCTCTCTATCATGAGTAAATAAATAAAATCTAAAAAAAGAAATCTTTTAAAAAATAAACTATAAAGTATATTAACCCATACCAATACTTTTTTCATGCAGAATTATACTACGCAGAGAAAAGATGACACTACTCACAAACCTTTTGGAGTTGAGGGAAGATGTCAAAACACAACAGGCTTTAGCGGACGTTTTAAGGTACTGGGTGTTATTTTCCATCTAATTCTAGCTTTGGGTTTATGCTTTGAACATAATGTTCTAAGTGTTAGTAAGTTAAAAGTTGCTTTTGTGATATTTCAAATAGTAGCCATAAACTAATATTTCTGGACATAAATTTGTAGTTAACTGTAATCAGTTTAATGACAACCCCTTTCCTCAGGACTTGAGTTTCAAATATTTTTTTAACCAATAGAACCCTTTTTCAAAGATTATATGGAAAACACAAATATATAAAACAAATGCACATGGGGTGGCTCTAGGTGAGGAGGCAGACAAGGTCCTCGACCTTCCCTTTAAGCCTACCCCTTTACCTCTAAGATGTAAATGCATAGCTTTGCAGAGCTAAGATGTAAATGCAGAGCTTCCAGTGTCTGCAGACTGAAAAATCCTGCACATAGATGTATAGCCCTCAGAGGCCTTCTGCATCATCTGAGAAAGATTCTGGTCTAGTAAACTTTGTTAAAGCCTGTTTCATCACATTCTAATTATTTGTACAGCTATGTCTGATGTAAGTGATTAGTTATTCAGAACACCTCATCCCACAGACATATGGAATAAGAATTACAGTGTGTGAAGTACTATATTTCTCTCTCCTTGTTCTCAAAAGTTGACATACTTTTTGGAGTGTCTGGGTGGCTCAGTCAGTTAAGCATCTGACTTTGGCTCAGGTCATGATTGAGGGGTCCTGGGATGAAGCCCCACATTGGGCTCTGTGCTCAGCAGGGAGCTCCTCCCTCTGTCTCTTCCTCTGCCCCTACCTCCAACTTGTGTGCACGCTCTCTCTCAAATAAATAAAATCTTTTTTTTTTAAAAGACGTTGACATATGTTTTAAATCCATTTTGACTGAAGTTCCTTCTTATGATAGGTACTTTATTAATATATTTTTTAAAGATTTTATTTATTTGAGAGAGAGAGAGAGAGCAAGAGAAAGAACATGAGCAGGAGGGTGGGGGCTGAGGGAGAAGGAGAAGCAGGCTCCCCCACAGAGCAGGGAGCCCAATGCAGGGCTCGATTCCAGGACCCTGGGATCACAGCCTGAGCCAAAGGCGGACATTTAACTGACTGAGCCACCCAGGTACCCCACTTTATTAATATTTTTAACTCTACAGTATCTCTCCTTTCCCTTGAAAGAAAGGAAAATAATCTAGGGTTTTTTTGTGAAAGCAGCAGGCAGGCTAGATAGTTAGCTCATTAGGAGGAAGTTAATATGAGCATAAATGTAGTATAAACTATCCCCAAAGTACAGACTAGGAGGTAGTTAAGTGGTCTTCTATTAATACCTGGCTTGTTGAGAGGCCTAATTTCTAGATGTCAAAATTGTTTTTCATTTGTCACAACACAATTTGAAGGCATTGTGTAGATAACGTTTTTTTTTAAAGATTTTATTTATTCATGAGAGACACAGAGAGGCAGAGACATAGGCAGAGGGAGAAGCAGGCTCCCTACAGGGAGCCCAATAGGAGACTCGATCCCAGAACTCCAGGATCATGCCCTGAGCTGAAGGCAGACGCTCAACCACTGAGCCACCCAGGCTGCCCAGAAATACATGATTCTTAATAATAAAATCAGGGAAGAAATAATCCTTTCTAAGAAAAGGAGCTGTTTCATTAAAATTTGCTTTGTGGGCAGCCCGGGTGGCTCAACGGTTTAGCACGTGCCTTCAGCTTCAGGGCAGATCCTGGAGACTCGGGATCGAGTCCCACGTCGGGCTCCCTGAGTGGAGCCTGCTCCTCCCTCTGCCTGTGTCTCTGCCTCTTCCTCTCTCTCTCTCTCTGTCTCTCAAGAATAAATAAATAAAATCTTTAAAATAAATAAATAAAATTTGCTTTGTAATGGACTAATTCAAAGCAAGATAGTAATCACTTTATTAGATATGTAAAATGATCAGTATAAATTTCAAAATTAGCTCTTGATATGTCAAGTTTGCATGGATAGTTTTAATAGAACTATAGTGTCTCATTATAATTCTGTTTTACCTGAATTTTTTGTGGCCTTAAAAATGTAACTGGAAAATATGCCTGGCATAAATGCTTTTTTAAATAAAATAATGTGCTTCATTATACATGACATACTCATTTGTTAAATAATTGTGGAAAGAGGAATATACTTCGTTTTTTTTTTAAAGATTTTGTCTATTTATTTGAGAGAGAGAGAGAGTGTGTGACACATGAGCAGGGGGAAGAGGGAGAGGGAGAAGCAGACTCTCTGCTGAGCAGGGAGCCTGACATGGGGCTCAATGCCAGGACCCTGAGATCATGACCTGAGCTGAAGGCAGACGCTCAACTTCACTTCATCTAATAATCACTCCATTATAACCTACCATTTGTACATTTCCCACATGGGAATCAAACAAATATTCATTGTCTTTTTATGTCTATTATAATACTAGGCAGTGTGTGGGCCATGAAATGGTCTTTTTCAATGTAAACTCTTGAAAATATTTGCTGTAATGGTATTTTTATAGTAAAGAAAGATTGGCTTGAAGATACTGACAGGAATAGAGTTTTGGAGGGGCACCTGGGTAGTTCAGTCTGTTAAGCATCTGCTGTTGGCTCAGGTCATGGTCTCAGGGTCCTGGGATGGAGCCCCATGTTATGGGGCTCTGTGCTCAGCAGGGAGTCTGCTTGTGTCCCTCTCCTTCTGCCCCTCCCTCCACTTGTGCTCTCTCTCTCTCTCAAAAAAATAAAAAAAATCTTTTTAAAAAATTGCTTTTATGTAATTTTTAAAAAAATCATTATATGAAATAAACTACAAGGCTCCTTTGAAGAAAACATACTTTATAAGCATCATTAACCTCTTTCCTTTTAATTTATGTAGTGCCTAGAATCAAGGGTGGCTCCGAGTACCAGACATTTTTCCATTTCTTATACTAATAGATTTGGAAGCTGTAGTTTTTACATTTCATTTTTTTTTCTTTACAGACCAACTTTAGAGGTGGCAGATTCCAGCCCCATTATAAATCAGGCCTAGTACAGAAGAGTTTATACATTCAGGCTAAATATCAGCGTTTACGATTTGCTGGCCCAAGGGGATTTATCACTAATAAATTCAGACAAAAATTACTGAGGAAAAAAAAGGTTAGTTGCATTATGATCATTTAAAAATGTAGAGTGACTTTTGAACTCCTAAATTATCTACGTTTAATAGATCAGGTGTTTTTTTAATATAATTTTGACGTAGGTTACAATCTAGATCTCATAGATGTTCTTATTGCATGATATTTGAAGAAAAAGTTCAAAGAGTGATGGTAATAGAGTTGTGAATGTTAAAATGCTTTTTGCTGTTATGCCTCAAATACTGTGAATATGTCAGCTATTTGAACTTTTTACTTTGGAATGTCTGTTATATGTGCTCGCTTTGGCAGCACATATACTAAAATTGGAATGTCTGTTGTATGATTCATCTTTGAAATGGAAATTCAGGTAAAGACTCTTAACTGATATATTTAGCCCTATACAATGTGAATTATCTAAGTACCAAAAAATATTGAACTGACTGTATAAAAAGGGCACACAATTACAAAATATACTAACTTTTCTTTTCCCCCATTCATGTGTTTTTTATTGTGATTAAAATACATATAACATAAAATTTTCCATTTTATCCATTTTTAAGTATACAATTCAGTGGTAGTAATTACATTCATAATGCTTTGCAACCATCACCACATGTGCTAACTCTTAATAAAAAGTTTCTTGATAATTTGAATTTTGTTCTCTTTTAGTTGTGGATTGATTTTATTTAAATTTGTCATATTGGTATTTGAAAATGCAGCATAAATATGATATAAAATTACATTCTACACATTACATTTTAAATGAGAACAGTAGCATTACATCAGTTAAGTGAGGCATATTTGCCAATTTTCGGACTTATTTTTGTTAATTTGGGGCTATATTTTCTCTGAGAAATATGTGTGTATCCATTGTTGCTCTCAAATGGTCCAACTGTGGTTTTCTTAATTTTCTAACCATAAATGTTTCCTTGAATATTCATATTTGTGAAGCCCTTACACTGAGTTTGCTTAGTGATTTTAGTAAAACTTATTTTTCAAAAGATGGACTAGTAGAATGAAATTGACAACTGTTTTTTTAAGTTTTAGAGGTAACGGTATCTTCTGTAACTTCTCTTACCCTGCCCCCTACCCCCCAATTTTAACTGAAGACTTGAGGTGAAGTTTTTAATTTCACCATGTATGTTACTCTTGATGTTATTGATGTTATGAAAGCCATGTCTTCTTTGTAAATATAAATGAACTGGACACGTTTTCCCCTCTTGTCCACCTCCCTGCTGTCAGATTGAGTTGCTGCTTTCCTTCCTGTCTCATGTGGCAAGTTTCCCTGCAGCAGATCTCGGTATATGTCCCCAGTCACAGTTTAGCAGCCTGGCTGTTTGCAGGGAGGCAAGCCATTGATTTCTACTCAAGGCGGAAGGCTGAGGCAAGCCTTATTATCAGTTGCAAGGTTGGATTTCAGGTACTTGTGTTTCTCTTCTGTGGCTCTGTGTTACCTTCCTTTGACTCCATTTTTACCTCCAGTTTTTAGATAACTGGGGGTTCCTGAGTGCTTGACTGCCTCAGCCTGCAGTTTCTATATGCTTATGGAACTTGTACCATTTAGTCATTCTTTTCTCAGACTTACCATGCCCATTTCTTACTGACCACCCAGTTCTTCCCGACCACTTGACCACTAGCCTCACTTAATAGCAAATAGAAACCAGACATCAAGCCTTCATCCTAGGATATAAGAAGTATGTCCTAGAAGGGCACCTGGGTGGCTCAGTTAGTTAAGTGGCCAACTCTTGATTTTGGCTCAGGTCATGATCTCAGGGTCTTGAGCTTAAACATCCACCCCCCCACACTCCCCAGCACCTGTCAGGCTCCATGCTCAATATGGAGTCTGCCTGAGATTCTTTCTCTCCCTCCCCTTGGCTTGTGCTCTCGCGGTCTCTCTCTCTCTCTCTCTCTCTCTCTCTCTCTCTCTCTCTCTCTCTCTCAAATAAATAAAATCTCTAAAAAAAAAAAGTGTGACCTAGAGGGAGCCACAAGCTGCTATGAGTCTTCAGCTTAGGGCATTGGCTTTTGTATCATCATTCAAAATGTAGCCATTACAGTTAAGGTCCAGTGCAGCTCATAGCCTGCCCTCCTTTTGCCTTTCGCTACCATCTTGAGTGCTTTAGAAGTATACCCAACACACTGCACTTTTTAACAAACGGTGTCTTCTACATTTTTTCTTAGGCCTACCCTTCTGGATGCTACTTCATATGTCTTTGTATTGTAACTACATTGACAGGGGCCTTTCCATTCTGGCTACTGTCAGTGCCTACAAGCAAAGCATAAGTAGGCTTCTTATACATTTGTGTTTGAACAAGGCCCAGCTCTACAAGTATGACATGAAATTAGGTACATACCCTGGTATTAGCTCCCTACTTAACAGCTGAGCTCCACACACCTCAACCTTTAGAGAAAGAAATGAGGCATTGCAGTTCTTTATTTCTGCCAACATCTGAGGTAAGGTACTTAAGGCTTACCTGGCCTTTGGACTGTCCCAGTAGTATTGTGCTACTCTGAAACCCCATTCCATTGTATAAACTGATGACTTAGATCTATTACTTCATCTCACCTCATCCTTTATGCCCTAAAGAAAAGAGAGCAGGCTTGGAGCCTTTGGTTTTTTCTAGTGTTGCTTACTTCCTCTTTCCCTTAGATTAGGGACACTTGTGCTCATATTGACTTACTGAATATGAGGTACCATTTATATCACTTTTCATCTCAAGCTTCTATATTGGAGGGAACTTGGAAGGTCCTGTCCTGGAGAGAAGCCATAGTCTGGGCAGTATCTCTGCACTGCTTTGACTTTTTGCCCTAGTAGGGAGTTCATTCTTTTTATTGTTATTAGATCACCACCTAGATTAATTAAAGATACATGACCAATTAATCTAGGTGTCCTGAACCTGCTTGAGCTTGAAATTAGATATGAACCTACACATTCATACATGTCTCATAGTCCAGGAAAGCTTAGATTGATCTTGTCTGGACTGCTCACTCCCCAACCATGTTGAAATGACTGGCTGATCATTTATGGCTTGAAAGTCTTGTGATGCTCATCTGTAGTATGATCTGGATACTGTGCCATCAAACATGTGCTTCCTCTCTCCGACACCAAACGGTCTCAGAGAGGAGTGGGGGAAATCCTAGATATGCTCCTAATAGGTCTTCTTGTCCCACTTAACAAGAGTGGTTTTGGCTCCCCAGGTGCCTACAAAGTATCAAGATTCCCAAGAAGTATTAAGTACAGAACTGAAATTCTTCCTCCTAATTTATCCGGTGCTTCTCATTATTAATGCCTTTCTGACATCCAGATTCCCTTTTACTGTGTCACGTTTCTCTTGAATTCTGTGCTTGGGCTAGAAGATGAGGAGGTGGAAGGAATGTCTGTTACCACCTGGAATAAGGCTAGTCTTTTATTCACATTCACAAGTGATCCCCTTAAATATCCTCTGCTCATTACAAAATTTTCAGAAACTCTTGAGGGTCTGAATATGCACCACAGTAGGACAAAGAATGCAGTAGAAATTCATGAAGCCACCTCTGAGAACATTGCCTCAAAAAAAAATCATAGCAGTTGTGTGTTCAGTCAGGGAGACCTAGAGTTCCTTAGCGTCATAGATTTTCTAGCGGTTTGCAGGGTACCTGTCAGTGAGGTGCCTACCAGAGCCCTTCCCATGGATACAAAGGGGAAAAAGGAGAGAGCGCAATGACACTGCAAGAAGGAAGTTAAAGACTGGGATCTATGGCCATTGGGATTGATAAAACCCTTGAAAGTTCTAGAGTATAAAGATAGAATGGGAAGCAAGATCAGGTGACTCAACAGGAATCTGTTACACACCTGCTATGTCCCTGGAGCTGAAGTGTGCCAGGGTGGTATCATCACCTTCAGACAGTTGTGACTTCTGGAGCTTCCAGTTTAATTATCTATCTCTCTGTCTTCTTTGTCTTGTTTGGTGGTTTCTCTCCTTCCATGAAGCCTTTAAAAAATACAAGCGTTCTCTAGCATTATATTCTTTCTTCTCTTTATTTCTTCTACTTGCCTTGATTGCCCTCACGTCTTCCCAAGGTTCTAGCCATTACCTCTGGTGATGTCTTTAGCTCTATTCTCCAGAGCTCCACATTTCTAGCTGCCTCCAAGATACCCTCATACCCTGAAGGCACATCAAATTCAGCATGTCCAAAATCAGACTTTCATTGGTACAAACTATAGCATGTGTGACCCTTAAAAACACGATGCTGAGTGACAGGAGTCAGTCAAAAAAGACCACATATTGTATAATTCCATCTATACAAGATACTCAGAATAAATGAAGCCATAGAGACAGAAAGTAGATTTGCAGTAGCCAGAGACTGGGGGGTTAGGGGAGAATAGGGGTGTGTGTGCCTGCTAACAAGTATGGGGATTCTTTGTGGCTAGGAAAATACTCTAAAACTAATTGTAGTGTCTGATGGTTGCACACCTCTGTGAATATACTAAAAAACTATTGAATTGTGTGCTTTAAATGGGTGACCTGTATGGTGTGTGAATTAGATCTCATTAACACTGTTAAAAATAAAATCAAACCCACTCTTCTCCCCAGGCCACTGGTTTCTCCTTGCAGCTAGCCAGCCAGCTAGAAAATTTTCCTACTAATCTTCCTAGTTCTCCTTCCAACTTTAGCCAGTGCAAGTCTTTCTCTCACTCACCCATTACTTCATTCATCTCATTCCTTTTTTTTTTTTATTCTTTATTTATTTATGATAGTCACAGAGAGAGAGAGAGAGAGAGAGAGGCAGAGACACAGGCAGAGGGAGAAGCAGGCTCCATGCACCGGGAGCCCGATGTGGGATTCGATCCCGGGTCTCCAGGATCGCGCCCTGGGCCAAAGGCAGGCACTAAACCGCTGCGCCACCCAGGGATCCCATCTCATTCCTTTTAATGGCTGTATATTATTCCATTCTATGTTTAACATACCCTGAAATTTTGAAAAATTATGCATACTTGCATACTTTTAGGTCAGTTTCTAGTAGTTTTTTGTCGTAAGTTTAAATTGTCTTAAGGGGTATAATTTCTGGCATATAAAAACTGAGAGTCTTAACTAAAACTGTTACATTATTCTTTGGAAGCTCTTCAGTGGAACCTGCACACCACAGAAATTTGATGATAACACCATTCATTTTCTAAAATATGCAAACAACCTCTTTTAATGTATTTTGTGTCATTCCCTTGTCTTTGCCTTGAATTTGGATATTATTCTATTTACCTCATAGATTTTTATCTATGTCAATATATGTCAAAGTTGACATATATTGTAATAGATTCTGTGACTCTTAGGTGTTAAATATTTCCTCTGCATTGAGTTAACATTATAGTTGATCAAAGTACCATAAATATATTACAGGTTTTGTTAAGTATTGACTAGACAAAAGTCGTATTGGAAGTGAATTATTTATTCTTTTCAATTAGTTCATGTAGTCACATACAAATGTTACTTACTGCTAATAAAATAATATCGTGTTCTAAGTATCCATTCTATTTTTTCTTTTTATAAATGTAAGTCCTGAGAAACTTTGTCTGTATAACCATGTAAATGAAAATGAAAGGACTTTTTTTGTAGCAATGCTACTTGGTTCTTTGGACTCACTCTGAATTATAGGCCAAAAAATCACTTAGTGATCTGTCATCAAAAACTATTTTGAATGTTCTTTTACTGACAGCTTGATTTTGTCCTTCAATTTTATTAAACAAAAGCAAAGAATCAGAAGCCATGTGGCTTGCAGAAGTATGCTATTTATTACTAGCTGCTAGGGTGGACTCATTTTCGTGACACCATCACCAATATCTCCAACTGTCCTGTTTGGGGGATCTTTAGGTAATGCAAAGTAGTAAAATTCAGAATGAGAAGGTGTATCTTTCTCATATGAAATGGGAGATGAGGCACCAGCCCTAACCAGTTGTGCAGACAGGTTAATTTTGGAAAGTGAACACTGGGAATTTGAAGATCTAGCTATTACTTCTTTCCAAACTTTCTGTCCCCACATGCTCCTTGGAAAGTCTTCATATGTTCCTAATGGTAGGCATACCCCAGTTTGATAATTGCCAACTTACTTAACCAAGCCTCTGTTGATGACTTTGGAATAGCTTACAGGTTTCCTTTATTTTTGGTAGCAGCACTGGGAACACTGACATTTTGGTACCTTGTCATAGTCTTCTTTTTATTCTTTATACTCTGACCGGAAGTACATGAAAGGACCTGTTTACCTATACCCTCACCAGTACTCTATGTTATTATTCTTTATTATTGTCAATCTAATAGCAGAAAATACTTCTCATTTAACTTTCTTTGGTTATTAATGATGTGAGCATATTTTTATGTGTCTGTGAGCCAATTGCATGCCTTCCCTCAATTTCCTTATTTCTGTGCTTTGCCAGCATTTCTTTTGAGGGATAGTACTTTTTCTTATTTATTTGTGAGAGCTCCTGATTTACTGAAGGTGTTAACCTATCATACATTTTGCTGGTATTTATTTTATGTTGGTCTGTTGTTTGTGGTAGCTTTTACAACACAAAACTTGTAAATGTTCAAGTGTCTATTTGAGTTGGTCCAGTAAAGGCTTAGAGATTTCATATCATACTTATCCTTATAAAAATTCCTTATAGTGTTTCCTTTAAGTGGTTTTATGGTTAAATTTTAAAATACATATTCATTCCCTCTAGAATTTATTTTTATAATACAGTGTGAGTTGGAATCAAATTTTTTTCCCAATGGATCATCAGTATTTTTAAACACCATTTATTTATTTATTTATTTACCATTTATTGAATAATATGTCCTTTCCCCACTGATTGAAAATGCCACCTTTAGTGTGCACTACATTCTTCTGTATTCCTCATCTGCCTTTGGAATCTTTGAAGCCTCAAATTTGTTTCCTTGCCTGCTGTGATTGCTTATTCTGTCCATTCACTACTAGCACAGTTATTGTCCCAAAACACAGATTGAATCATGTCACTCTTACACAAACCCCTTCCAAGGAGTCTGTTACTTAGAAGAGACTGGACTTTTTTGCCAGTTCCAGCCCTCATAAGCTGCCTTTCTAAGCACAATTCTTCATTCTTCAGGACCCTCTGCTTTTTTGGAGCAGAACATACATTTTCATGTATTTGTATCTTTGTTCCTGCTATTCTCTTACCTGGAAATAGCCTTCTGATTCTCATCGTTTTCTTATTAAACCTTTCCTTTTAAGACCCACTATAAAGCCTTACCAAAGCTCTTGTTTATTTGGTCTCTGACTGTTGCTGTTTACCTTCCTGTTTCCCCAAATAGATGATCAGCTCCTTGAAGATAGAGGGTACCTCATTAGTCTTCTTTTTTTTATTAGTCTTCCTATCTTCTCCTTTTTGCCTTTTATATAGTCTGTTTTCAGAAAATGCCTGTTGAATAGAATCAAATCTAACCATATATACACACATGCTCTCACACATCTATTTATAGCTCTAAAAAGTTGGTGAATGGTAGCCACTGTGTCAGCGTCCCCAAGACTAGTCCCAGGTTTGGTGATTTGCTAGAACTCAAAGGACTCAGCATATGGTGGTACTCACAGCTGTGATGTGGTACAGTAGAAAGCTGCACAGAACATCAGCAGAGGGAATTGGCACACAGGTGAAGTCCCAGTGCCAGAGGATACCGGGTGCAAGTTTCCAAGAGTCCCTCTCCTAGTGGAGTCACACAGGATGTGCTTAATTCCCCCAGCAATGAGCTGTGATAACATATGTGACATGTTCCCAACCAAGAAAGCTCATTAGAGACTCAATGGCCAGGGTTAATCGAGGGCTGGTCACATGAGCTCCCCCTGCCAGTTACATACCCGAATTCCAGACTCTCAGAAGGAAAGCAGGTGTTCAGCATAGACCATATTGTTTGCATAGTTTAGACGCTCATCAGTGGTGGGGATCCTCCCCAAATCTAAGTTCCTGGCTGATAGCCAAGGTCCAACCTCGGAAGTAGGCCTTTCAAAGGATAGCAGTCAGGTATGCTATATTAACTCATCGCATAACCCTAGTTTTGAAGAGCTTAATTTCACAGATGGCAAATGTCTAAAGAGAGGAGGAAAAATCAATATGTTAGGAATGGCCAGGGAAAGCATGCTCAGTACCTTGATGTTTATTCTCCTCTTACAGAGGAGGTAAACTGAGTCATGGAGAATAGCAGAGCATAGAAGGGACTACAGCCAAAGATCCATATTTGGTGGCAGAGCATAGAGAGTAGGGTAAAGATAGCAGTGTGCAGGTTATTGAAGGCCTCACAAACGAGGTAAGGTATCGAAGATACAAGGTATGAGGTAGAACAGCTTGCTAGACTGAAGAGAAAGTATTACGGAGGATGATTTCTTGGTGAGTGGTGGGTACGCAGGGTTCTGGGGAGGAGACGAGGTGCAAGAAGACCCACAAGGGAGCATTGGCAGTGATACCAGGTGCCCACTTAAGAAAACCTAGACCAGCCTGGTGCTCATATACCAAGATCAGCATCCTGTTTAAAGTAGGTTTCCAAATAATTGGAAGAATGGAGGGATCGAGCTGAGAGATGGTGTGGAAGAAGCTATGTCAAGGGTGAATGTGATCCAGAATAATTTTACATTTGTAAAATCAAGATATTTTGGTTGAAAAACTTTAAAGAATTATTATAGTCAGAGTTTCCTTTTAAAGTTGTGAATAGGCAACAGATATTTTATTTGGTGGACAAAATATATGGTTTTGTATTATGTGACCAGTGAAGAAATGGGACACAATGAAGTCTACCTCTATTTAAAGGAATGATGTTGACTGTGTGTGTGTGTGTGTGTTTGTATATATATATGTATATATATATGTATTTTGCACATTTCATAATTAACTAAAATAGAATAAGAATTATCTATCAGCACTGCTTTTGTTTGGAATTAAATGTTTCCATACTAATGTAATGACAAAAAATAAATCAACTTTTAAATTTCTTTCAGTTTTAATAATGTAAGATCCTATTAAAAGGTAAGGATATATGTATTAATAAATATCTTTAATGTCCCAGAAAAACATGCCATTTACCATTTTGCTCTTTGATTAGTTGCATGGTATTCTGTCCAGTTTGTGGTTGGTAATTTAATATTTCGCATAGCATCACAGTATAGGATCCACATTCATTACCCTCTTTAATCACAGTTTTATTGTTGTGAATTCCTTTTCCTTTGTTTACGGAAGACTTACATCTTTTTATGTTGTAGGTAACTATCCGAAAGCAAGAAAGCTCCCCCCCCCCAGACTCCCAATAGCTTTCTCTGCTATCACCCAAGCTAGAAGAGTCCATGTCAATTTAAAATTAAAGATGCCATATGATGTCAAAGATAAAATTCCAGTTTGAGATTGTGTGTATCACATCAGGCTCCGTGTTGAGTTTTAAGAGTCTTGAATTTTTTTTTATTTTTTATTTATTTATGATAGTCACACAGAGAGAGAGAGAGGCAGAGACATAGGCAGAGGGAGAAGCAGGCTCCATGCACCGGGAGCCCGACGTGGGATTCGATCCCGGGTCTCCAGGATCGCACCCTGGGCCAAAGGCAGGCGCTAAACCGCTGCGCCACCCAGGGTTCCCTTGAATTTTTTTTTTTTTTTATGATCCAGTGAAACTCCCCCAAATAGCAAAATGCCTTTTCATCAACTTACTAATAACCAGCGTAGAGTGTCTTATTATTTTCTTTGTCCTACTGACTTAACCATTTAATATCTGCTTTGATGTGTTCTGTTGTTACTTTGCATCTTTGGGGTTCCACATACCTTTGTGGGGGTCTTGGCTGCGAGTAGTACTACATGAATTAAAATAGCTTAAAATTGCAATGTTAAGAGAACTCTAGCTCAGATGTTATAACTGACTCTTCTTTTGAAGTCTGTATTTCTTTTGTTTTCTCTCAATAGGAATATGCAAACATTGCCACAACAATCTAATCTGGAATTATTACAAATGGAAACGACACTACAGGATGATATTTGGGAGCACCTCTTTTTGTCAGGAGTTAGAATTGGCACTAAAGCACTAATACTGTAACTTTCTTGATAAAATAACTTTATTTTTCTGTAGTGGAATGCTGCAACTTTTTTACACTTAATTGCTTTTAAATTACAGTATTCAATTTAAAAGTTGTATTAACTGCAGTTTCTTTTGCAAAAAGTTTCAAAAGGGCATTATTTGTTGATGCATTTTTTTCTGAGCATGGTTTCATAGAGAATTTAACTGAGTTATATCTAGATGTTTATATGTTGAAAGTTTTGCTTACGTAATAAAAACAAAAACAAAAATATCTGAATTGTATAGTGTCTGTACATGAAAGAACTTGAAACAGTGGCCTTATGATAAGTAGCAAATTTTATATCAGATTTTCCTTTTTTCTGATGACAGTTTGGCTTATAACTTGAAATTTTCTTAAGTTTCTTAAGATCAAGGCCTATATAATTTATACATTTCATATTATAAGAAGGCACGAGAAAAGGTGCTTCAAAATTTCCATCAGGTAGTTATAAATGCACTGAATTTTTACCAATTGGTTCATTCTGTTTTTTCCACCACTGTTTGCTCTTTCCAATTTCAAAATGCTATTGTGGAAAATATGTAAAGATTTTGTAATTTATATTCCATCTTACTTTCCCTCAGGGCAAGCTTGTGCATATCATATTTTTAAAGGCTTTTTAAAAATCTTACAGATAAAATCTCATATTTGGAAATTGTACTTTACTACTACAGCATTATACATTTTGCAAGCACCTGTTATAAAGTGTTTATTTTAAGTTCAATTGTATTGAGTATCTACTAGCATAAGATAAAATTGATGGGATTTTAAATGATATTTTAGGTCCTGATACCTTATTATCTTTATGTTTTCTTTGTTCTGCATAATAGTATGTATACATTCCCAATTAAAATTTTGTGAAATGTTTATTTGTAATAAAATAAAATACTGTGCTCCTTCTGCTTGAAGAAGTTACTTGCCAGTTTGTGAGAACATTATTTTAATTTCATATGAGAATTACAGCGCTGAGTAGGACCTGTTGATATTTAAAATCGTTTTTTACTTACAAAGACAGAACTTTTAAAGCCAAAATCTGGTAAGAATTTGATTTCTCATGCCTGGATTATGAAAAATCTTACTACAAACATTTAATTTTTTTTTATCTTTGTAAGATAGGGCCGCCTTTCCTTATAGTGGGTCAGTAATAAGTGAGGGGAAGAGTACTTACATTAGAATTGGCTAATAAATTTAGGCAGATGGCCTGTCTTACTGCTGTGTACCATCTCCCTAGGTCAGGTTTTCCAAACATATTTAACATTCCACTTATGGTAAGAAAAGACATGTGTGCAGCAGTATGACAATTTATATTGTGTGAGGTACTCATAACATCTGTCTTAAATTTTAAAAGAATCCCATTTATTCTCATATTCTGGGGGACACTTATGAGCCTTGAACATTTAACCATTTGGTTAACACATTTATTGCACAGATTCTGTGCTAAAATTACAGCAGTGAACAAGAAGACAAGACACATGGAGCCTGCTTTTATGGTCCAAATAGTCCGATAGGGAAACTGGATGTTGAACATGGAAATGTAACTTGGTAAACAGCGTTAATTCTTTGGCTCTATTTATCGTAGCACATAAGGCTAAGACAATTGACTCAATATTAATCATTCCACAGCTGATTTCCTTTTTAGGCATATATGAATATACTTTTGGCATCATCTCAATATGCAAAACATGTTATTTACAAAATACCTATTGGTAATGTGGATGCATTCAGAAATTATTGCGTGCATAAGGTTTAAAGCCTAAAAAGAAAGGCTTGCTTTATAGTTTAAAGCCTAAAAAGAAAGGCTTGCTTTATAATTTAGAGTATAAAATAAGGACAGGGACTGTGTCTGTCTTGTTCACTGTAGTATCCCCAACTCCCAACATCCTACTTGACATACAGTAAGGACTTATTAAATATTAGTTTAATGAATAACAAGTAGAATATGTTTCTTAGCAACTTAATATCTAATTTGCATGTGGAGGCTGAACAGGTTTCCTTATCCATAGCATTTTTTATTGACTAAGAAGAATTTGAATTCTCTAATGCATAAGACTATAGAAGAGAAGTTGTTTTGGTAAGTCATAGACTATTGTCTTCTCCCCTTCCTCCCCTGTGTGGTAGGCTCTTCCCTGACCCTGGGGGGACAAGAAGAGGGGTCCCTCCTCTGAGGAACCTCATAAACTGTTGGAGAAGAAATTCACAAAAACAAAGAATCCAATATAGAGTGTTAAGTACTCTACTGGATATATATATATATATATATATATATATATATATATACACACAAAAGTTGAAAAAAGTTGGCATTCCTGGCTGCATATCCCCTGGTCACATGGTCTTTCTTACTGGTTTCACAAACCTCAAAAGGCACTATGTGGGTGATTTTGCAGGTTTTACAATTTGATGGTTTGAGGGAAACTGGCTAAAGTGTACATGGGATCTCTGTATTCTTTGTAATAGGTACATGTATATCTCCATTTATCTCAATGTAAATTTCATTTTAAAAAAGACACCCATAATCTTATCACAGACAAAACTATATATATTTTAGAGGCTACATTTTCTTTTTTTTCTATTTGCATTATAATGAAATAGCTGGATGCATAATGTGGACCACATTTTATCCAACAAATCCTGCATTTATGAAGTTTTTTTTTAAAGGATGGTGATACTTCCAGATGGAAGCAGGAAAAGTAAAACTGTATCAGAAACTCACTTTTTCCATTATCTATCAAATTCAGCAACCAAACAAGGAAGAGGGGTGATGCTAATGCAACAAGGTGTGGAGTCACTTCAACCCCTCTCCCGCCTCCTAAGTAGCACAGAGTAAAGAAACAAAGTTGACCTCATCTTGGTGAGCCTTGGTTCTGGACACTTAATGGGAACCCAGAAAAGAACGGATACCCAGTTCCCCAAAGTAATTCCAGCAAAAGGAACAGTATGAACTCTGAGTCCATTAAAATACAAAACTAAGATTTTAAAACTGATGAATTATGTTTGCAAAATAGAATGTAAATGTTAAAAATCTCGAAAATAGCATTTACTGATCAATTAGGACTTGTTGGGGCAAGTGGGATGAGGATTAAAAACTGACTGCCTCATTTTGCGAAGCTAGGTATCATGTCAAGTTACAATGTCTAAGATTGTATTATATAATATAGAAGAAACCTAGTGACCAACCTTAAGTCTTTCACAGTCTTTTTCTTTTTTTTTTTTTTAAATTTATTTATGATAGTCACAGAGAGAGAGAGAGAGAGGCAGAGACACAGGCAGAGGGAGAAGCAGGCTCCATGCACCGGGAGCCCGATGTGGGATTCGATCCCGGGTCTCCAGGATCGCGCCCTGGGCCAAAGGCAGGCGCCAAACCGCTGCGCCACCCAGGGATCCCTCACAGTCTTTTTCTTGACCTTTAAATGCACTGGTTCTCAAAGTGTGGTCCCCAGTCAGTGATATCAGCATCACCTGTAAAACTTAGAAATGACGATTCTTGGCCTCACTCCAGACCTACTGAATCAGAAGCGAGCTTGGGCCCAGCAGTCTGCCTGCACTCCAAGGGACTCTGCTATGTGTTCAAGTTTGAGAATCACTGACTTACAAAGCTCTTCTGGGAACCAGTAGCCTTATAGCAAAGAAACATCTCAAGTTCAGCAGCCCCTTCAGTTTCATGTTTAAGGTTTTTCTATAGCAAGTAAAATTAACTAAAACTTTTTCAAATAAAAAGTATAGCAATTCCCACCATCAATCCTGCCTGTACTTATGAGTAGAGAGGTCTGGAAACATGCCCACCCACTGTCAACACTGGTGGTTTTTTAAGTGGTGGGGTTATGAGTGATTCTTTGTGCTTTTCTGTATCAGTTGAATACAACAAACATTGTATCATTTTTATAAAATAAAGTCATTCCTCTTTTTTAAGTAGTAAGGATATTTAATCCTATCCATAGTATATGTTACTAAAGATCCATGTATACAAATTTTACTTCCAAGGGCTGCCTAGTTTACCTTAGTCCAGAGGGGTTTTTAACCTCTGCATTCCTCCTCCCACACCATAACGTGGGTAAGCTTATTTAAGTATATGTTGTATTGACTTTTTAGTAAGAATTCTTGACTTAGGGGCACCTGGGTGGCTCAGTTGATTATCTGCCTTCGGCTCAGGTCATGATCCCGGAACCCTGGGATTGAGCTCCGAGTCAGGCTCCCTGCTCAGCGGGGAGTCTACTTCTCCCTCTCCCTCTGCTCCTTCCCTTCACTCATTCTCTCTCTCTCTCAAATAAATACTTTTAAAAAGAAGATCTTGACTTAAAATTTTAATGTAATACATATAGTTTAAATCATTTTACTACTGTTGTTTTAAAAAAGACAAGACTTTTCCTCTGACAATATAAAGTACATAGAATAGGGTGACCTAGCTTGCTCAGTCGGTAGAGCATACGACTTTTTTTTAAAGATTTTATTTATTTATTCATGACAGACACACAGAGAGGGAGAAAGAGAGGCAGAGACACAGGAAGAGGGAGAAGCAGGCTCCATGCAGGGAGCCCGACGTGGGACTCCAGGTCTCCAGGACCACACCCCGGACTGAAGGCGGCGCTAAACCGCTGAGCCACGCAGGCTGCCAAAGCATACAACTTTTGATCCCAGAGCTATAAATTGGAGTTCCGTGTTGTGTGAGGAGATTAATTTTTTTAATGTACATAGAATAGTATGTAAAAGGAAGAAAATGCATTCATAATCACACTGCTTAAATAGATTTAGTATAAACTAACATTTTGATATTTTTTCATTAGTCTTTTTCTGAGCTTTTCTTTTGGTAGTTGATACAATATTTTATATATGTATATTCAGTCTTTGCAGGTAGTCACTTATAAATTTAAAACATGTTTGTAGTTTCTATGACATTCAAGTTACTGTATTTTGGAAGGCAAGGATAGAATCCCATTCCCAGAAAGCTACAAATGTCTTATGAAATCCTAGAGTACCATATTAAAGTACAGAGGGCTTGTTTTTGCTGTACACATCATTAAAGATATTAAAAACTAAGTTTTACAGATAATTTCCTAAATTCTTCAAATTCTAATGCCTCCTAATGATGTTTAAAATAATATTTAGTAAAGAAGAAGTTGATTTGATGTTGTGAAGTTCTTGCTGATGACTAGTTCTGCAAGGGATTACAGGGAACACAGGGCTGCTCAGACTCACGACCCCGGATGTGGATGTAGCCTACTGAGCCAGCCAGATGTCCCACAGAGTTTAAGCTCCCTTTATTTTTATTTTTTTAAGATTTATTTGTTTATTTTAAAGAAAGAAAAAGAGACGGCTGAGTGGCTCAGCGGTTGGGTGTCTGCCTTGGGTTCTGGGCATGGTCCCGGGATCGTGGGATCGAGTTCCGCATCGGGCTCCCCACAGGGAGCCTGTTTCTCCTTCTGCCTATGTCTCTGCCTCTCTCTCTGTGTCTCATGAATAAATAAATAAAACCTTAAAAAAAAATAAAGAGGGGATCCCTGGGTGGCTCAGTGGTTTACTACCTGTCTTTGGCCTAGGGTGTGGTCCTGGAGTCCCAAGATCAAGTCCCACATCGGGCTCCCTGCATGAAGCCTGCTTCTCTCTCTGCCTGTGTCTCTGCCTCTCTCTCTGTGTGTCTCTTATAAATAAATTAAATCTTTAAAAAAATAAAAAATAAAAAAAATAAAGAGGAAAAGAGCGCTCCCAAGAGTGAGCTGGGTTGAAGGAGGGGCAGAGGGAGAGATGGAGGAGAAAGAGAGAAAGAGAAGCAGACTTCCTGTTGAGCGTAGAGCCTCAGGCAGGGCTCAATCCAACGACCCTGAGATCATGACCTGAGCCAAAATCAAGAGTCCATCACTCAGCTGAGTCACCCAGGCACCCTGAACTCCCTTTAAATGTG